TTTTTAATTTTTAAAAAAAAAAAAAAAAAATCACAAAAAAAAAAAATCCTATTTCTTTTGTATTTACAGTTATAATGCATTTAAGATTTTTATAATGGTCAGCATGTAAAATACCAGGTATTTTTTCCAGGTACCAAAAGCAACTTATGGTAATGATGAATCATAGTTGAAAGTAAACACAAAAATCAAAATATAATGAAAACATTATACAAAGATTATATATGAAGTACATATATACATATACTACATGTAGTAAGTAACTCAAACAAAAATAAAATATGTTGATCAATTTCATGTAAGCAATATGTGTTTTTCTCTCATTCTTGTCCAAGGCAGGAAATGTGTGGAAGAAGTGTCTGTCTTCCACCTCCTTTCACGTGCGTTACATTAAAAATGACTTGACGTCATGACAATTCGATGTCGCCATGCTAAAACTGCTTAATTGATGATAATATAAACTATCATGTTTGGAGAACAAAGGAACTTTTAAGCCAAATCTGGTTGACGTCTTTATCGTTGCGTCCCATATAAGGGAAAGTGTTGGTATTTTCAAAACGGTAGCCAGTCAAAACGATAGCATGTTTTCTGAGCCTCTGATGATTGGAATGAGAGAAAATAAGTCTTTCCTTGCCCAGGGGTTCAACTTATTTACAAACTTTCCCTATTCCGTCTTTGCGTATTGCAGAGTTATCTTCTCTTGGGAGCAGGTATTGATTGTTACGTCACTTGTTTGTGAGAGTAACGTCATCAATTTTTGAGAAAACGACGCAATTTGCTCACACAAACCAATGACGTAACAATCAATACCTGTTCCCAAAGGAAGGTAACTCTGCAATACGCAAAGACGGAATATTCAACCCTCGGCATGAAAAGCTTTAAATTCTTCCAGCTTGTTAAGTCGATTGGAAAAACGGAAATGTCTGAAATATGTATGCAGTATGCTAAAGCCAAACAAATAGAAACAAACAAAAGTGAATTGAAGAAAGTTAAATTACTACATTTGTAAATGTTTATGATAATGCCCAACATTCCGAAAACAACTGTATCTAAATACCTGTCCTTACCCTGCAAGCAAACAAACTTATACACCATTTGCTTTGCTATTCCAGATAAAAAAAAGATTAAAGAAGACGGATTTCCTGGATATATGTTTACCAATGACCTTCTTAACAGGGGTTTTCTATTAAGGAGTCTGCGCTTTAGTCTTCCGGAAGCAAACGTAATCAAGTGATAATCCAATGTATATAGTTTGCTGATTTTTAAGTAAGCAACAATTAAGTGTAGGATCTTTTTCCATCATTTGTTTTAATATTATTTCTGTAAACTTAACTCACATTTCCGTTTGGAGTTATGATATTCAATTTTCAAAGTTCCGTTCTTGTTTCATTCAATTTCATTACTTAGTGGGATAATTTACAGTTCCGTGTACATACGATTCCAGTTTCGCTTTGATTGCCCTTAGCAAATCTGCGTTTTTCCGAATCATTTCCGACGTGTCAGTTTTGTTTCCCTTATTGAGATTATAAGCAGCATGTGCAATTATCATAGCGTCAACGATAACCGAAAGACCACCTACAACGCTCCCAACAATCATAGAAGAGACTTGGGTCGTGACCCTTGCTATAATGACAGGAATAATGTGGAAACTACCCATGAACCTGCCTAACGCAGGAGACATACCTACTACAATACCAGAGGTATTGTCCCCAAGCTCACCAACATCCCCTTTCATAGATGTCATCACTTTTTCTGCCATATCCATGTATGTCTGATTTGATTTAGCTGCTTCCTTTGATAAAACATCCAAAAGTTCATGGATTACCACCAAAGCATGGAGTTGATGCTTGGTAAGTGCCCCCTCAGTTATCTTTGCGCCTATCACGCTCGCACTACCCAGCCCAGAGATAACTCCGCCAACCACAGACAGGTTTAAGGTTGCCCCCGCAGTTACAGGTGCCAACGCGAAACCTAATATGAGCAACCCAGCACCAAGGGTCGACACGGCACTACCCGTAATGGAGGCTATGTTGATATTGTGCCGTCTGCTCTCGAACACCGCAACGATGAGTTCGTACATCAAAAGTTGTATTGATATCAGTTTCATCATCTGCCGAATGTTCCGAAGGTTCTTGCCAAGTGCGTTGTCAAGTCGTCTGAAGGTATGGATGATTTCAATCTCTGCAACTAGGAAAAAGATAAAGATAATGTAACCTACCTATTACCTAATAACGCATAAACAGTAATCAAAGATGTCAATGAATTCGTTCCTTTATAATGTATTATATATGTTTTAGCACAGTGTGTTGTAAGGTCATCTGAAGGTGTAGATGATTACAGTCTCTGCAGCTATAATTTGCAGTGGGAAAAGGTCAAACAAACAAACAAAAAATCAGCAAAAAAAAAAAACCCACACATTCCGGACACACTTTTGATTGACACATATACTTTAAGGACACGATTACTGTATTTTCAAATACTTGTAACATCGGGTAAATAAATTTCACATTCATATGAATACAATACATTAAAGCTGATTTATCGCATCTGAAATATTTTACCGTCGTTGTTTTGGATTCTAAAACAAAAATTGTTGACAGACTGAGAATGCTTTGACGTTTAAGGTATGCTTAATACAACAAAAGCAACATATCATAGACAGCATCTTAATTAGTATAGAAAGAGATTCAGATAGAAGATGTAATTGAAAACAGGTTATGGGAGTCTCTCTCAGGATTACCGTGTACTTCAATGCGTATTGATTTCAAACAAAATGCATAGGTGGCAAAAGGTAACAAGAGACCAAGAGGGCCTGTATCACTCACTTGGACTATAAGAAATCATTGGAAAATGTTTTCATTAAATATAACACTGAAACTTTTCCAAATATTGGCTCTGTTTCTTAGCAACATCTGTCCCTCATTGGATCCCTTCTTGCTTCAGTCGGGTAGATTTTAAACCCATTTCCGCTATTTTGCCCCATCCCTTTACAAAATTGTGTACCCTTGCCGAGAGATGCTTTACAAAACATTTTATTAAATACCCTCCAATCGTAATGAAGGAGAAGGATTTAAACATTTCTCATTATGTTCTCTCTAATGGGCCCGTCTATCTGTCCCCAGTGGAGGCCAAGCCCTCCTTTGATACAAAACTGCATCCCCGTTGCCCAGGGAAGCTTTCCTTGCTGTTTATGTACTTACCTTCCCACTCCATCTGTTGTCGTGAAGCAATAGATCTCAAACGAATTTCTTCCTCGTTTTGAGGTGCTGACACAAACTCCCCTGGTACATCAGGTTCGTGAACTTCGCAGTTGCATACTTCTCTCTTTGGAACGATTCGTAAGAAATTGCCGTATGGGTCCTGGAGAAGAGTCACGTAGTAACGGTCAAACTTTCCGGTTTGTCGGCATTTACTTTGTATCTTCGGCATTGTATGAGGTGCAGTCTTTTTTCTGACCTGGGTAAATGAGGACCAGCTACTCTTCCATTTTTTCTCTGCACTCCTCTCAACGTTTAGCACGTAAATAGGCGTTTGAAACACAGTAGCAGCGGCAAGCAGTGGTAAATGTCCAAAGAGGAGGAGAAATGGCACAAGCGTTTTGTCAACTTCGTTCTGCAAAGGTTGTGTACTTCGTTTCAAATTAGACCTAACACCGAGATAACTGGCGTAAATGCCAGCATTATCCTGCATTTCTTTGGCAACTAACTCCTCAATCTTCCTCGCTTGTTCTTTGTTCCCAAATATCTCTTTGCTGAGACAAGTGTACAGGGAATGTGTAGCGTGTCCCTTATCCACTTCCCGTAGTTGCATATCTGGACGATGAAATACTTCGTGTATTTGGGAGTAGCCCTCCTTTGACAACCTGTTTTGTGTTTCGTCACTGAAGCTGTCGCCGATACCGTCGTCCAAAAAGAATTCCGTGAGAGGATTGTGCCTGTCATCTTTCGAAATGAAACGTCTTGCATCTATAAATTTAAAGGAGAGTTGATTTTAGTTTCAATTATGAAACAAAATATAAAAACAAACTTAAAGCAAATTTCTTGTAGCAAGAGTCTTCATCATTTTAGAATCGTGAGTTTATAGTTATCATTCAAATGACGCGTCAAGATTGCTTGCATCTTACCAGTGTGTTTTGTGTTAACTGCTGGTGGCCTCATGATACAGTTACAACCTTGAATGGGTGTGATGATATCGTATCTGTCGTCAGTGTAGTCGTATAGAAGGGTTATGTAGTACCGGCATTGTTGTGTAGCTCCATCCCTCTGTGGAGTGTTGATGGGATCTACGTCAGGTCTGTAGACTCTCCAAGTGTTCGTCCTTGATGAATAAACGTAAATGATCTTCTCCAGCCATCGTGCTATGTGGAGTAGATATTCGTCATCTGGAGCTTCTTCTCGTACTTCAAAGTCGTCAGAAACGTCATCGGTGCCGTATATCAGTTTGTGGATGCATTGTCGAAAAGTCGCACGATCTTCGGTGACTTTGTCCAAGGTCCTTCCATCTATATGGATGCCGACAGGGAAGGACGAACAGTTACGTGTGTATTCCGTCTTCGTATTGTTGCAGAATCTATCTAGGTGGGTGTGTCTATGATGTCTCTTTCCCGGACAGCATATCGCTGTCGTTTGGCTCACTACAAATACATGATAATGATGTCATTAATAATTAATCCCAAACGGTTGATAATGACGTTTTATCAGAGGTATTGAAAACCAGATGATGTTCAAATGCCAAGGCCTTAACGCCTATTACCTCGGCCACGCTTTTGTCGTGCTGAATGTCATCAGTAACATCATGTACTGTATGCCAGTCGGCACAAATTAAAAGTGGGAGATCACCTACGATTTCAATTGTATTAAAGGGACAATTCATTGAAGTAAGTTTATTTATGATCTTGTTACAAAATTCTTCATGCTGATATTGTTTGATACTACTTATGTACAATTCACGTCGAAAATTGACAAGAGACAATGTTGTATTGGCGTTTATAATCAGTAATGAAGAAATCCTTAACTGTACAACCGTACGTTTTAACGGCGTCTGTCGCTGAGTAGCTAGCTAACACAAATGTCTTTCCAGCCGAGGAAAGAATGAAATTCTCACTTTATTCACCTAGCTTCTTCATAATACAAGCGCAGGCATTTATACTTCATCAAAAGAATCTCCCAAACAACATCTCAGTCATCTGGCACCCTGTCAGTGCGTGCATGTTCTAATTGAACCTGTTCGTTTTTTATTCAAATCCAACCGTGAACAGAAATGTTTGATTGTGATACATATAATTCTTGATTGCGATGTATTGTGTCAGTTCAAAGCGACAATAATGTGTTATGTGTGAACCCAGACTCATAACTGACACTGAGTTGTCAGTCGACAGCGTAGTGCTGTATATGTTTACTTCTTACTGCATGGCCCGGATATTGCGCTATTTCAGTCGTAGCTCTTTTGATCAGCGGCTTTTCGAAAGATAAAACTGATAACACCGGACGTCGGCTTCAGGTCATGTCATTATCAACTACGTTAACTTTCGTTATGATATATATATATTTTTTCAGTATCGATTTTAAGGTTTTCATTTGGCTAGATAGCCCCTAGAAGGTCCTTATTTAACATTGTTGATATATCAGCATGCTGTCATGATCAGGTATACCAGCTAATTGTCCTAAATAAGAATACCTGGTTACCATTATCCTGATAAATGCTGTTTAGGACATCCTGTAAACTCAAGGAATAAGCTCCCGATAAACGTATCATCTTTGCACGATGTATTGTTCATGAAATAAACATGGACTTATGGATAACACGGTGATTGCATCCGGACATCAAAACAAACCAATAGTAAGGCTTTACTTATCAATGCTGGTACATTTTACCGTTACATTGTCTCGTGATTCGCTTATGATTTAAGCAGTACTTTGACATCAAATAGTTTAATAAATGTATCACATGTAACTGAGCGAGATCGGATTATCTCAGTCGAGGGCTAAGATTATGGGATTTTCGACTGAGATAAACCGATCATGCTCAGTTACAGGTAATTCAATTTTTTTCTCGCATCGTTTTGTTCGAAAAATCACTTCCTTTCGCTATTTTGCTACAAGTATTCCATTCGGGGCCTCAAATAAACAATGTCTCTTCACTTCTAAAGTTACGTTTAAATATTTTCGCGTAAACAATGTAGTCCGTCCTTTCAAAGCACAAACATATTCTCAGCGTAGATTTTAATTTATTTACACCATTGGGTATCTGAAAACATCTAAACAATAATATTACAACAAAACGTACTAAAAATAAATCGAATATATCACTTGCATTAGCGCATTGATAAATGCATCGCTGTGTGAAAATTCTGTGAAATATCGCGTAAAGGAGCAAGACAGATCAGATGCAATAGAAAAATCTAGAATTGGGAATTACTTGAGATGACCCTGTCTGAGAAAAAGGATTTAGTGACTGTCACCAGACTAGTCAGCTTGTATAATCCGAAATGTGGCACATACAAGGACTTGAGTTTGTCACGAGATTAATGGTAAGGGCAGATAATGTTATCGAGAGTAATACCCTTGGATATGGAAGATGTGACCAAATCTTCACTAGACAACGTTGGTAAAATAAATATGGCATCTTATACAAATAAGTGACCTTAAAGCCCAGTCCTTTAGCCCGTAGGGTAAGCCTATCTGTTTGTACATTTTTTAATCATCACTTCCTGGGAATGCTTCCAACCAAATATGGTTCATATCCATCGCATAAGTCACGACAGGAGGACGCTTAAAACGATAATTAGCAAACATTTTCTAGCAATGGCACTCGGCTGTCTTCGTTTCAGTCCTCGATCCCCACACTTTGTAATCCCTACCTTCTAATCAAGTTTTATTTGCTTTCTCCACAATTAGTTTCAGAGAAAAATCCCCGAAAAAAGAAAAACTACTAAAATTGGTCCCTTTTTTGCCTTCGGTCTAGGGGAGATGTAGCTAGTTCGACCATTTATACAATCTTCAGATAACCCCCACACATAAAGATATTTCCAGTACAATTTGGTGAAATTCCATTCAGTAGCTAAGAAGAAGATCATGTTGATGAACGGACGGACAATGAACGACGGATGTCGCGATATGTTATAAGCTTAAATTGGTTTTTGTACCAAGTTAACTAAAAGTGATTATGGAAATTTGTTTGGATAGTGATGTTCATCATCACAGGATTATAATCTAAAAATGAAGATTATGATTGTTTGGATGTTGATGGGGAATGGTTGGATGAGTATGATGATGACTATTACGATCGATTGTAATGATGATGATGATGATGATTGTTCATGTTTATATCAAATTCCTTTGAAGTACGTGAATAAGAAATATAAAAAGATCCTTGTACAGCAGTTTTGGATAAAAAAAATTTAATTCACTCGCGTTAAATATATAATTTAAAACAGAACAAAATACCTACTTACCAACAAATTTAAAGGCCAGAGACTTCAATATGTCGCTGTTGATACTTTCAAGGAATTCAACAGGTGGTCTTACCAGGTTACAGCTGCACTCGTGTTGTGTCGGAATACACAGTCTCAGTGAGTTTGACAAGGTTATGAAAGGGGCTCCTGTACGTCTGCTTCTCGGTAAGGACAGTGGGTGGTAAACGTCCCAGCCTTTTCTATCCTTTCTTTCCACGAATATCTCTGTCCTATAAAGGTATGCAGCGGCATAGAGCTCTACTGTCCCAGGGATTGTTTGTCCTTTCTGTAAATCAGATATGTATTTTCGGCGATTTTCTTTCTTTCTTCTGACTTTTTCTTTCAATGTTAAGGTTTCCGAGACGTTGTCGTCTTTCGTACTGTCAAAGAAGGCCTCAGCCAACTCATCCTCTCGCAGACACGTCATTACGAGCTCGCGTACATATTCATGATAATCTTGAAATCCGTACATTGCTTTACTCATGGAGTAAAAGAGGTTTGCTGTTTGATGATTGTCCACACTTTGATCGACCATCCATTCGTCACCGATCAGTTCTGTGTTTGTCTTCTCCGCATCGTAATGCCGATGACTAAATGATCTGCGGAATGCCAGCTCTTGACATTGACTATATTTCGCAATCTTTACATCTGTTAACCCTTCGGTCGGTGTCAGCTGTACGTATGCTGTTTTGTTTGGTTGACTTACCGATAGAATATATATGATATCCTCTGTTTCATAATATGTAAATGGCGGAGCAATCCTTTCCATTTGGACACCAGTTCGATACCAGTAGATCATGTGTATCGATCGTTGAAGAAATTCGGCGGCTGCGTACATATCACGACGAGTTGGAACAGCCCTTAAAGTTTTGTTGTTATTCAAATCAGTTTTCAAAATAGCTTTGGGATCAACCTTTCCTTCGTCATATAAATCGTACGGCGGTTCGAACGCTAGGAAGAACAGTTGATGATCTTTTTCCAATTGCACTTTTCCCATTGCGCTTCTTGCAGATTTTGGATGCCCAAAACTCTGCCATTTAACATGACTAACTATACGATAGAAACTGTCGTCATCCCATGCTGTAGGCCTGTATATAGTTCTGAAGCCTCGTTCCTCTAGAGATTGAACTGCCAATTCTAATTCCAAGGTGATTATATCTGACATGGTGACATTGAGCGTTTCTAAAGAGGTCTGGGTAGTAATAATCCACCCTACAACAGAGTAATGGTGTGTATACCGTCCAACCAGATAAGTTACACGGGTATATCGATAGCTTGACCTACATAAACGTTTTATCAGCTGGCAATTGCACGAATTCGCTTCTAATAACGCACGTGACCTATGACGTCACAGATTATTAAGCCCCCTACTACTGGATGTCTAGCTAGAGGTCACTAAGTTATTTACATATATCGCGTCATCCGCAATGGACGCTCGAACAGGTGAAAAATATGACTCGGAACCGTCGTACTATGTTTACGATCTACCGATAGATGCACAGATAAGATACAAACAGAAGCTGACATATGACAAAGGGACGAAACATTTCCTGGTCCGTACAAACTTAGTGGATGGGTTGAAGATATAACTACCTGGCCAGATGTGACGTATCCAGACATGTCATCCACATATAAAGAGCTGCATACATTTATCATGAAGATTTAAAGAATTAGGTGATGCGACTAGTTCTTTTTAATTGAATTTGTGGTAGTTTTACTGAAGTTGGAAGCAAAATGACATAAGCAAATACCCGTTGATCTTGAACTTAACCAGGAAAAAGCAGAGCACTGTCATACCGGGATTCGAAATCAGAACCTCCCGAACTATGAACGGACGCTCTACCAATATACCTACACGGCGAAGGTAATAGGTCCTTACGGTTCGAGACACCTCGGCACTTTTTCGGGTCTCGTCAATTTCAATGGGACACCTCGGCACTTTTTCGGGTCACCTCGTCAATTTCAATTGGACACCTCGGCACTTATCTTTTCTTATTTTTTTTTGGTACTTCATAATAAATTTATATAACATCAATTGATTGTTTTCTTGTACATGGTCTTCTATTTTAATTACACCAATTCATGTGTTATTGTTTCCATTATGTTGTGTTTACATGTTCAAAACATGTATGTGTAAAGAATGCACTTCTATTGTCATTCTTGTTTATTTTATTTTATTGTTTAGTTGTGGTCAAAGAAATAAAACACGGAAGTCTAGTTGCAAAAAAAGTGTATGCAGAGTGTTAATTGCTGTTTGTTTTCCTGTATATATCTTGTCATCATGCACAGATGCATGTTTGTGATCATTAAGGTCATATGAGTGTATTGCTAAACGGAAATAGGAATTACATCCCTAGTTGAAAATCCAATGTAGGGAGACAGTATCACAATTTTCGCATAATCTGATGTTTAATATGAAACTGATGAATATCGTATGCTTATTATTGACAGAACAGTGTATTCTTTCAATATTAAAGTATTGCAAAGCAATCCAGGCATTAATTCAGTTGCTTTTTAATCAATGAGTCACATGTGTCCATTTTTCTGTACTTTAGAAACCGGCTACCTATTTCACTACTGTGAAGTTTTTCAAGAACGATAAAACTTGCATTCAATTACCATTTGTATATGCTTTTATCATAAAATGTCAATTTTTAATCGTTTATAGATAATTTATTGTACACAATTTCAGCATATATGAAATTGATAAACATTAATGCAATACTAATCTATATTAGTATCATTTTTATTGAAATTATTTTGCAAAAAAATGTGTGTTTCAATTAATTTTTTCAAACTTCACTCCTTTTTACATAAATTTCCTTTTAAAATCCTTCAAATTCTGACAACCTATTTTTTTTTTTTTTTTTTTTTTTTTTTTGTGGCAGAAAATGTTCTTTACTTCAAAGCAATATATCTACAAAACTTGAATAAATTCTACTGAGAAATGGCGACACAATCCTATTACCTTAAGAAAACAACGAAGCCATTGTGACGCAATGTATTAACTTAAAAAAAAAACCGCCGCAAATCAATGTTTCTATTACTTCAGTAGGTTTTGATTCAAAAAGAATCAATTTAACCAATCAATGATGAAATTGAAAAACGAAAGAATATCGCAGGATATAAATTAGGTGCCTGTAAACTCAAGTATTACACTTAATCGAGTCGTGTCTGTTCCACCGGCAACTTGTGTTTCTTGCACCCGTGTTGTAAGACCGCGTCAGAAGGCACTGCAGTGCGACAGTTGCTCACGTTGGCAGCACCGAATATGTCAGTCTGGTAAATACCTGAATTAATAAAGTCTAATTATATGGAACGTGTACTGGAAGGATATAGTGTAGTAGTGTTATCGGTATTTGCCTTATCGTATTCATTTAAATGGTTATGTATACCAATTTAAAACTGTCGTTATTTTAAAATTTGTAAAATTATGATCATGTTAAAAATTATAACTGCAATTATCTTTCAGTACATGCTCCATTATCAAAATATATCACCACAAACTGTGGATACGTCGACACAAAATACTAACAAAAGATTAACGGATTTCAGATTCAATAGCAACTTAAACATCAAACCAGATTCTGAAAAATAAGTACCGACTTGTCTTCAAAAAGTGCCGAAGTAACCAAGTGCAGCAAATATAAGTGCCGACTTCACCAAGTGCAGCAAATATAAGTGCCGAGGTAACTGTGTGCCGAAAATATAAGTGCCGAGGTGACCATGTGCCGAAAATATAAGTGCCGAGGTAACCATGTGCCGAAAATATAAGTGCCGAGGTAATCAAGTGCCTACTTCACCAGGTGCCGAGGCGTCTAGCATTCCATTCAAGTTCAAGTTTTTACAAGTTTACAAGTTTATTATTACTTTAAGTCGTCCGACTTATCAGTTACAACATATATACAGTACAATACAATTTACATCCATGTAAACATAATTATGTCTAGGTATCATATATATATATTTGTACATTATATAGTGGAGAGTGAACAGTAACCACTAATTAAAGAAGTTGAGACCTTTTCTTGTTCGCATGCACTAGATATTTACCCAAATTTCGAATTTCTGATAAATTATTACTGTTTAGTAGTTGGATAAATTTAAACATGCTAGTACGGTTTACATAATATTTTTGATGAATTTAGCTTTTATGTCCAGTTCAGCTACATTCCTCTCTCCTTTCTCTAAGTCTTCGCCTTAAGGACAACACTATTTACAATCATGACACCAATGTAGCAGGAAAGAAGAAGACTAAATGCACGGCCCGGAAGACACACGTGACCCTATACCACCTTCCGTGGGTATATTCATCTGGGCGCCAATCATTATGATAAATATGTATACATTTTACTAATGTTACTATTATTATTACGTAGGCATAGGCCGATTTTATTGTCACATGTATATGGAAATAGTTTCATAGCCCTATGGAAATATAATCTCAGTAATCCTAACAATTCTGTTATTTTAGTCATTTATTTAATAATTGTTGAAAAAAACTGTGCCAAATGTTGTTTGATGTTTAAATAACATATTTAACAGTAGCTGATATTGTCAGTGACGTCACAGTTTGTTGTTACGTGACCTATTGAATATTTCTCTTTGATTCCCATATGTTATTATAAACCACGATTGTTGTTTAGTGGTATCGTATACTTCACATTGTCGCTTTTAATCTGCTGAATTATAGCTACGAGCTCTTCTTCCGTAAATTATCATCCGCTAGAACATAAAACAAGACGAAAGAAGTATTGTATTTGATATAAGTACTTTTGGTAAGAATTATTGTTATAAAATAACCATTATTTTTGTCAACATAAAGTGTTCTGTCCAAACTTTTAAACTGTCGACCCTTTACCTTATACTTAATAACAAACTGAAGGAACGTCTTCACTCTCGTATTATTAGAATCTTTAGATAATTGTTTGTGTAAGCTAACAAAGGGCTCAACATTCACTTACAACCTTCCCTACGTTCGATGTTTACATTTGTCGCAGTTGATTTGATATTCAAGAGCTGGCACCGAATCTTATGACTTCAGTGATAGATGTCGACTGCTGACGGACGGACAAACTTCAAACAGGATTTCAAAAAAGTGTGTTGCTTATGAATTTTGTAAAGTTTCATGGTTGCCATCATACATCTCGCAAAAAAAGAAGTTATTTCTGTAAATCTTTCCTTTGCTCATATATCGTCATGTTTTCATCGCTATTGGGTTCGAATTATGGTTTTGTTGACACTTAGATAATACTCTTGCTTTTTAGAGAAAAACTTACTTGTGTAAGCCAAAATATTAGACCACATTTCTAACAGGAAATCAGCGTTATACTAACATAATAATAACGTTATATTTACAATTTTGTCAAATTGTAAGCTTTTATCTATATATTTATGTATACATGCTTGTATTGATTGCATGGGTCGTGGTGGGCCGATTGATGAAGGTGTCAAACCGTCTACGATCACTAAAGCCCTCCACCACTGGAACGTGGGTTCGAAGGCATACACGCGGGGCAGTCGTCCTGCTTACAAGAACTTTCCGCAGGTCGGTGGTTTTTCTCCGAGCACTTCGGTTTTCCTCCACCACCAAAATAAATGAAAGGACATCAAACACAACCAAACCAAACCAGTTTTCATTCTGCATTATCGTGTATTCTGTTCCTATTTAAAATACAGCTTTATACATATATTACCATATGTTGCCCTATATGTCTCATGTTGAATTGTGTTCCCCGTTTCCTGTCATCTTCAGTAAAGATTACCGGAGGAGGTTACTTGAGTGTAGAATGCTATAATTCACAATCATTTTGTAATTTTATATAGTATTTATGAAACGGACTATAGATTTATTTAAAACCAACAAATCGATATAGATTGTGAAGGGCGGTCTTGTGATAAGGAAAAACAGCCACCATGTGACATTACAGATGTCGTCCTTGAATATCAGAGAGTTCCACCTGTATATAGATTTAAGTCAACTTCAGCACCAGCAGAAGAGCTCCGAGACAGCAATGATAATAACGTTACAGGTAACTCGCGGTAAATAGGTCATCGTTATTATTAATATATCATCGGTGTTCTCTGTGTGTAAAATATCTTACCGATAATGTGATTGTGTTTGTGGTTTTAGACAAGCTAGAAAGCATGTTGTGTACATTCAAAACACATATTGCGCACAAAGTAGGTTTCATATCATCACAGTAACACTCCCACGATGTGCCTACTTATTGAACTGCCACGCGTAATAACCTACTACACCCATTATGCGCGTCATCCATACATGTGTACCGTTGGTAGTTCGTCTATCGTCGGTAACCTGGAATGACCAATAATACATGTATATAGTGTACAACAATTTACACCGGGAAATATCATATTAATTTTGTTTTTGTGATAATATGATGATTCACTGTATGTTGCATGTCCCCAATTAATACGTACCCTGATAGGTCTTGTAGTAAACATAAATTAATACGAAGTATAACACTATATAAACACTTAGTAAATCAAGGGGTTGTGTAGGCCTTGAAAATGCCCTCAAGTCAAAGAAAAAAAACTTATCTTGACGAAAAGGTCATAAATATCGATTAATTCAAAAAAATGTCTTGAAAGGCTCAAAATTTGACTAGATGATTTTTAACTATAATTGTGTTATTCTCATAAAAATGAATTCATAAAATTGGGACGAAAAAAATGAAATATTTGTTACGAGTTCATTTCTGGATTTTTGGACTATCGACCTGTCGTTTGGTGTATTTGTACCTGTAACCCTGCAGTCGCATAGAATTAAGCAAACATAGTAGACGATTTACTGCGCTGTATTCCCATTTCGTTCATTTCGAACTCTTCAGTGACACTAAAGGTAAAAATGAAAAAAGAACATGTCTGAAGCGTTCCAAAATATACATGAATGTTAAAATAGAGGAAGGGGTGGAGTCCTTAAAACCCTTTAACAAATGTACAACTTTTTTTATCTACAACCTTTATTTCAAGCTCGCTAATTATAATAGGCTGGACAATAAGTCTGATTTTAAACGATTGGTGTATATAATAATTTCCTGAATGTATTACACTCAGATAAAATAATAAAACATGTTTATTTTATCAACCATTTCAATTCAACTTCATATACTAGATATTTGCGAAGAAAACATTTTAAGCCTCGTCTTGAAGGAAACAACAAAAAACGAGCCAATGAGATACAGTAGGATGAAAGATGATAATTCAGAGAACAGTAGTATGTGGTTTAAAGTCATGCAGATAATTTTTAATTCCCTATTTCAGTTCATGCGATATTAGTGCTATGACACTGGGAAATGTTCATTGGTTGATTCCATCATCTGTTAACATCGGCGAAATAATGGTTGCTGCACAGATGCCTGGGGTTAATGAGCATTTTTTAATTTAAGGAATGATTTTTATTTTTTCAACATTTATGAGGTCATAACAACAATGGGTTTATGGATATATTGAATGAATCGCGTTAGCGATTCATTTAAAATATGTCCAAAAACCCATTGTTGTTATGGCCTCATAAATGTTGAAAAAATAAATATCATTCCTTATATTTACATTGACGGATCCTTTCAGTGGATCGATATAACAACGAATAAAACAAATAAACAGATTTTGTTCCTGCTTATACACGGGTGCAACACAGTGGCGAGAACAGGGTTTTTTTCGCGGGGAAATGTGACACTATCGTGAGAGATCTTAGCAACCGTCAACAACAATAACACAACAAAATGTAGTTCCATATTTAATGTTTATTTGTAGCACAGGACACGTGAATACGTGGATATTTCACCAAGCACAGTTCAATAATTTTTTAAGATGTAAGAATTAAGCATCTAGGTCGGTCGTTCCAAGTGAGTTGTTTTTGTAGTGTATTATTACGCAGTGTGATCAGGTTACTATCAGTTCCCACGTGCTGAGATTCTATGAACACCTGTGTTATGCATTTATGAATGTAATTTTTGTCAATGGGTCTAAGCATACAGAATGTAAATGTATGTATTTTTTTTATAAAACCCTGACCCCCATCTCTTGCGGACAGCGATTTTTTTTTTTTTAATAAATTTGTTGTGTGGCTTTTATCATCCCCGGATACCTTTGTCATGTGACCTTAGGTGTTTTGACCTTAGCTGCTGTTTGATTGTTTGAGTGGTTTTACGTCCGCTTCAATATCGAGTAGTTATCCTTTCCCATGTTTCTAGTTTCCCTATTTCTATTTTTAGATGATAATTTGAGGTGACACACAGGACATGGCGAACTCCGATTCGGACGATGAGAGACGGCCCATCAGGTACACTGTAAGTAGAGGCTATTGTTTCTTTAGAATCAATAATAAACATTAATACGAACTTATATACATAAATAAAACAAAAGCCTTAATGTCTTGAACTTCTGCATGATGTGTACTTAATGAATCTTCGGTCGTTTCGGAATCCTTTTTGGTGACGAGAAAGAAAAATAATACACAGCTAGACCGGGGTTACGAGCCTCGGACCCTCCGAACTCTAGACAGACGCTCTACCTATTGAGTTACCTGATCCCCGACGATTGGCCAAGTCCAGTTCCGCTCCATCTGTCCCTCCTTTTTCTAAGCTTTCGCCCGAAGACATCACCATTTACAACCCAGGTTCGGAACCATTGCCAAGCGTACACCCAACGCTTGAAGGAAGTGTTAGCAAGCTCACTATTGTTTTTCGTAATAATTGGAGAAAGAGAAATTGCACGGCCAGACAGGGATTCGAACCTGGGACCCTCCGAACTCTAGATGGACGCTCTACGATCGAGCACAGTCCAGTTTCGTTATAACCGTACTATTGGCTGTTAGGTTATATCAGAGGCTATCAACCATTAGTGAAAAATGTGCATTGATTTGGTTGCCTTTTAAGCGACAGCTGTAGTGAATTTCCCGTTAGATCAGCGGTAGAGCGTCGGGCTGGAGAGCCAAGGGTCGCGGGTTCGAGTCCAGCGACGGCACTATCTTTATCACTATTACTCGTCTTCCTATACTTTAATCGCACACAGACATAGGAAACATAGCATGCAACTGTCCGTCGGTTTATGAACATTTTATTAAATCTTTGTTCATAACTCAAGATAGCAACTTTTATTTAAAATATAAAGGAAACGGGATTCTTAAATAAGAATATAAAGGATAGATTTTTTAATATTTTGAAAATCATTAAAAAAAAAAGTCTTAAAAAGGGTCTGTTATCATTCAGACAAAATTACGTTATGTATTTGTGAGCTTTACCCCTTAAAACGGGTCCTGTGTGCGTTTTTCTAATAAACAGTGCATAGAAATATGTCTGTACAATTTTTAATCACCTTATCTACCGCAATATGATGTCAAGTGTACACACCACGTACACCATCCGGAACACCTCTAGCCTTTCTTCCAGAACGAAGAAAGAAATGCCAGAAGCGTTCCGGATGCCACTTATATAGACCACTGTTATGTAACCTAGAAGATAAGATATTCCTGTCATCTTGTGTAAGTTGTACTGGCATATCTGTACGTTTTATAATCATATCTATATTGTAAAGTCGTATATATGTGCTGAAGATTCACTTTGTCCCAAAACCATCTGTTTTCATTTCCCCTGCATAATATCTCGATATTTAGTACATACCCTCACAGGGTTTCTGGTAATTTGTGAAATAATTAAACGTTTTTCCTGACTATCTGCACTAATTTTTTATAGAAAAGTAGAAAACATTTTTTGTCTTGATAAATCATCTAAAATAAACAATGAAAAGGTCCTTGTGTAGAAAAATGGGTATTTCTCCTTCATATTAAACCTTGAAGAAACTCCGAAGAGGTGAAAGGCCTAAGGGGCTAGTCCACTGTGGCCAGCTACAGTACAGCTGTACAAGGATATTGGCAGTAGTATAGAGTCCTAATAATGATGTTCTGGGGTTTGTAGAGAAAGTAATAAGTTCTAGAATGTAAAATATCGTGGCCGAGTTTTCCATTTGTGGTAGTAATTTGTAGTTTATCAACTATTAAATAAACCCTTTAGCATATTCAAATGCATTATTTTCAATGTATTACATTTAAAAAAATGATGTTTCGGTATGATGTACAGTAAATTCACAATATATCTCGTTTCAATTAAAAAGGTCCCCATGTCCTCTCTTTCGTAACAATACATGTATTTGTTTCCCTTTCTACATTTTCAAGACACTTTATATGAACGCAAACATTTTGCTGGGCAATTGGTGACAGTATATCGAGGTTTAATTGACAAATGTTGGCAGTGTAAAGAGGTTTAATTGACAAATGTTGGCAGTGTAAAGCGGCCTAATTGACAAATGTTGGCAGTGTAAAGCGGCCTAATTGACAAATGTCGGCAGTGTAAAGCGGCCTAATTGACAAATGTTGGCAGTGTAAAGCGGCCTAATTGACAAATGTTGGCAGTGTAAAGAGGCTTAATTGACAAATGTTGGCAGTGTGAAGAGGCTTAATTGACAAATGTTGCCAGTATAAAGAGGTTTAATTTACAAATGTTGGCGGTATAAAAAGGTTTAATTGACAAATGTTGGCAGTGTAAAGAGGCTTAATTAACAAATGTTGCCAGTATAAAGAGGTTTAATTTACAAATGTTGGCGGTATAAAAAGGTTTAGTTGCCAAATGTTGGCAGTATAAAGAGGTTTAATTAGCAAATGTTGGCGGTATAAAGAGGCTTAATTAGCAAATGTTGGCGGTATAAAGAGGTTTTACTTTAACCTGTTATATGCAAGATTATTATTAGCAGCAAAACTCTATGACACTTCAAAGTTGTATTTCATTACTTCGTGTTATCTTAATTGTCTTAATTGACTCGTTCAGGTAGCTATGTAATATTGTACATGGTCATTATTTCCATTCACAAGTTAGATTGTATCTCGTCTCACTTCCATTACTACGTCATGAAGTCCCGTCGTTAAAATAGAAACCGGTACTTTGGTGAATGAATATAATGCATTTAACGGTTAATGGTTTTATCAGTCGATGGCTGTATGGAGAAAGATTCCTCGTTTTCTCATGGTAAACTTCTCACACGATATCATCTTGGTAGCGAGCTAGCACCCTATCTGGATGTGATTGTACACCATGCTGGACAGATATATAGCAATAGACAGTAAGGTAGGAACTCTCTAGTTTTAAAGGTACTTTTATCTTCTTTATTAAGCACAGGTAATGAAGAGACACTTCTGACTTTAATTACGAACGCATTGGATACGTGATGTGTTCCTTAACGCTCATCGCCAAGCTTCGATACAGTAAAAAGTATGCAATCTGACCAACAGATACACTTGTCTACGTAGTTAGTTTATTAATATCTATCTAAATATATCATGTATATAACAGATATTCTTTATTGTTATGCATAAATTGAAATTCGAATTGTGATAATGATGCAATAATCAATTTCTAAAAATATCAATCGCTATCCTTTTTTAGATAATAATAATCTTTATTCCGCAATAGACACAAATGTCTTTGTGCCATAAATACATTGCATATACAAGGATATATGTAGTGGTGCAATGCATTAAATTACATAAATATATTATAAAGTAAAACAGTGACTTTCCATACTTAAATGCAGGTTTCACGACATTTAAATTATGGTTGTGAAAATATGGTTACAATTTACAAAAATAAAATAACGAAACTCTGAATCATTTTATAAACAAACACATAACGAAAACAAGTTAAGTTATGCTTTGAACCTGACAGTTTTAATTGATGCTGTGATAGAATAAGTAATATATGACGACATTTTGTGCTAACTTGGAAATATACATATAAACAAAAATTGTATTTTGTTAAAAATGGTTCTTTCATTGCAAAATGAATTGAAACATGAGATGTTTTGGATGAGTAGATGGTGAAAACTAATTTGAAGCTCTTTTCTATTATATCAGATATCTATGAAATTCGCTATTAAAGTTTGTGCTATAAAAATCTTGCAAAATGGAAACATATTCAGACTATTATTGTTTAATAACACGTCACGTGAATTTTCTTTATATAACTGTTTAATATCAACCACTGTGACGTAACAATAAACACAAGTACGATGACGTCATAATTACATGGCAAAATTTCATTTAATTTCTCCAATCTGAATATTTAAACAAATCTGCATAACTATGATGCATGGTTAATGTTGAAAATAATAATTTGAACTCTCATAATTCGTCTATTTTCATGAAAACCCCCCATATGTAATTACATGTAAAACCGGTTTGAGATTGTCTTATCTATGACGCCAACAACAAAAAGCAAAGCTCAACCAGACGATCCATGGTGTGTCAAACCTCTATTACTAGGAGTGTATTTCTACAATACATTATCGTCTTATGGACGATATAATAATATGTTTGAGAGGTCGGGTGGCGCAGTGGATAGCGCACTCGCCTTTAACCAAGACTGCTGGGATTGATTCTCCGATCGGACGTAGGTCACCTACCCGACCACGTGGAATATCTCCGGGTTCATCTGTTTCTCCCCCACATTAAGACCCCCTGCCGGGCCAAGAAGAGTGATTAACATATGTTGGAATAATTTCATAATTATTGTAAAATCAATTCAAGTTGATATTATTATAAAACGGTAATTGTATAACACATTTGGTCACTTTGTGTTTTTGTTGTGTTGACAGACCCCAGCCTTGGCGCCTAATGTGGCCTACCTCCGACAGCCTCCCAGGAACTACCGGATCGGGGCAATACTCTCCGCCATCTTGTGTTTCTTTCCTATTGGAATACTTAGCATAATATCATCTCGAAAGGTACTGGTTTGCGTCGTCTTCATAAATGTAGAGAAGAGGAAATATCTTTATATCAAAACAAAGACGCAATGCTTCAAAATATAAAGAAATAGAACATTTCATGACTAAATGTAAAATACTTTTTCCGTGATTTTTTTTCTTTCCTGTTGGTAATTCTTAAAAATATCAGTTATAGTTAATAGTATCTACGAAATGACGACATAGGTACATTAGTGACGTCATCAGTGTTTATTCTACTCGTATAATGAAATATTAGTCAGACTTCAGGTGCTTAGCTGCTTTGTAAGCAAACACCTGGTAAGCAATTACATGCACATCGAAAATCCTCAGAAGTACTATATAATTTGTATGTAATTGCTTGTTTCCGAAAAAGTGATTCAATGCCTGTATCATTTTAAAAAAAAATAAGCGTTGCTTTGACTGTTTTTATCCACTGTAATAAACCATAGGTTTCATAAGAAATGTCACTGATTGGTATTGCGTGTTCGGAATCTAGGATGTTGGGTGTCAATTTATGAGTTATTTTATGCTATACACTGTAAATTATTTTCTGTAATGTCAATAGCAATTTTTTAAGAAAATTTCATAGAAGAAAAAAGAAGAAGATAAATCTAGCACTCAACATTGCTCATAAATGTTTATTTTGGATTCTATATGACTATGTTTAATAACAAAAATAAATGTTCAGCAACGTACTATAATTGCAGAATACAATTAAAACATTGTGGCCGCTGGCAAAATATATCTCCTTTCATATACGGTACAAATGTTAATGACATCTTGGTCATTGAATTTAAATGCATTGTCCATTTTGTAACCGTTGTAAACATTCGTGTCCCCAGGTGACAAGAGCATTGGAGATAGGCGACCATGGCGGGGCAATGGCAGCGTCCGATAGGACACGCCTCCTCATTCAGATCACTGTGATAGTAGGCGGTCTGATTTGGTTCGGTGGATTGCTGGGAATCATATATGTATCGACGAAAGACAGCTAGCATAGGACAACTTCGTCCCATAATCTCTGGAAGGGTGACATTCTCAAATGGCTCCCTGTGTAGGCTTATTCAAGCTTTCCCAGCCAAACGGCGTGCATTCACAATCGCAGTAACTTTCACAAATGTGTTTTCCTCAATGGAGCAACTTATATTAAGCGTTTAACTAGTCAACTACAATATATATCGACTATCTGCTGATTTACATAATCATGGATTTATTGTGTTTGCTAAAGTGACATATACAATATGTTAAGCTACATCAAAAATTGCCAAAGTCGGAAGTTTGAGCCAAAAAGACACTTGCTATGTTAACAGGTTGTGCTTCATGTCTGCGAAATGTACACCCTGTTACAATATATTGTGTGATAGCAAATAGCTTTTCTCTGATTGGAACATTCCTGTAGATGTAGTGACGTCAACATTTATAGATATATTCTATTTTTGCCAAGTAAAAAAGAATTCCATATGATTTTGATATATACCCATTTTTTTCATATTTACCCATATTTTTACTGCTGAACTATCTTTTATATTGTCTAATTTACCATTAGCTGTTTTTATAGACACGTTTCGTGTACAAAGCCGGCTTGGGCTTCCAAATGTGCACGTCAACATCAATATCATTACAGTATATAAGACGCCATTTCCTGTCTTGGATTTAATATCGCTGACATGATCGTCACATTTTGCTGTTTGCCAACTAAAATGTACACATATCATTTGACTATGACGTCACATTGGCAGAAACGTATCACCTCTGATTTTGATGTAAGCCAACTAACGGACAGTCCCAAATCTGAATTGACAGTGTAAATGATGCTACTGGTGTGTTACTGTGAGAAAATTATGATAAATGTGCTGACAGGACATAAGTTGAGTTTTTGTATATGTAGACTTAAAGAGATGTTTATGTGTTGACCGCTAAGATAGACATGTATTGATTCCATGTATGTGCTTCCCTTCTTACATCGCCATAACCCCTTTATAACGCCAATATGTCGCGTGACAAATGGTGGCAGTGTAACTGGACATTGTGATGACGACACAAAAGGCTCGTGATGTTTGTATTTCTAGTTACCTCATTAAATTTCATTTAAAGCATATGTAGAGATTTACGGATAGAGTCAACAATTTTAAAGGGATATGGATATTCTACCCGAGGGTGCAGAGTTCGGGTCACAATCGAGGGTTTGCTGAGGTTCTGACAACAAAGTCTACACTCGAAGGTAGACTGTCCATATCCCACACACCCACGTATATAAGTAGTGTTTGGCTCTTTTCCTTCCACCTCTTAACCTGAAGTTTCGTAAAATAGGACACAGACAATGAAAATGCAGCATTAAATACACACAGCAAAAATTCAGTAAGATCCATACAAGATCTTCAGGGGAAGCTTGTACAGCAGTTCTTTGTTCTCGAGGTAGTGTCTCTTGCCGACACATGGTACACATGTATCTTTCTTATGCAGAGGTCGGAGAAATACTAAGGTGTCGTTTTTTCTGTGCTGCTTGTCTCACGGACTCGTTAGAAACAACATCCCATTTATTGTTCTCGACCGACGTGTCTCCCCAGGAATCGCAATAAAGAAAATCCTTATCTACATATCCACAGGAACCTGTTTGTTCAAAAGTGGAGGTCGTAGTATAAATACTAAAAATACCCTTTTGTCCCCATGCACTTAAAATAAAAACTTCCTGTATAAAGAAACTTCCTTACCGTTAAAAATAAATCCGCGGTGTAACTGAAATTGGATATCTAGTTGAATCTTGCTCCCGTGAAATAATGGAAGCTTTTGACAGAAAACAATATATACTGCGACTACTTATACCAAAGCATAGCAATGCTGCATGTTTTACCCCCTGCGTCTGCAAGTAACATCATGTATGTAAACTATGTTAAAGATTCGTCAAGTAATTAAAAAAAAAGCTAGTCGGAGAGAAACATGGGATATTGTATCGCTACACCCGTTCTAAAAATGGCCTAAGTACGATGTCGTACGTCGTGACATCATAAACTGTTTTAAATGGAAATCTGTGAGTGATACGACGACGTCCATTGAATAACGTTCGTGCTTTTGTGTATATTTTGCTAACATGTAAAAACAATTAATGTATTGATGTCATAAAATAATAAAATAATATATGTAATGTTTGCTTTATTCATTTTTGCATTGTTCCCCGTGACGCAATAAAAAGTCAGTCTCTATCGCCGGCTGGTGTTTGTTATGGAGATTAGAAATAGGGTCATAGGCGTCGTTCCTAACCATTGAGGCCCCGATATCTATACGGTGTCCTAGATCTGTGTCACTTCGGCTGGATTTTTAACCGGAAGATTGTCTCTTTTCAAGAACATATTTTGTTATTGTAGCTATCACACTCGTATAAAAATGGGACTGTCACGTGCGCCAGTGGCATATGTGGTTTAGGAGTTTTTGCATTCTTAGAAGCTACGGGATATATATCCGTTGCTGTATTACTAGTATTCAGACATTTATGGCCAGTGATATATTTTTCTTCGAATGCACGTCTTCGTTTTAGAATATTAATTCGTGACTTATTCGTCAAGACTCTCGAAGCAGAAATTGGAAAGTGATTAAATAACTTCATTTGTTTTACAGCAAATATGAAACAGTTTTCCAATATATGTAAATCAATGTTGTTGGCCCGGTTTGAAGCGCGCAGAGGGTCTTAATGTGGGACAACGCCGAAATACATTTCGTATTCGGAAAAAAAACACATGTGGCCGAGCAGGTGATTCAATACCTTGTGAAAGGCGAGCGCACATTCCATCGAGCCAACAGTCCACACAATAAGTGGTTAAAAGTGGCAAAACAAATGGCGGCCATGTTGAAAATAGTCATTTAAGCAATACTATTCCCATCACGTGCAGTATTGCGAGCTTTAGACAGTGCACACTTTTCACAACATCTTCCCCACCAAAGATGCATATTTTTGACGAACAAATAATTTAAATGTCAATGAATAATCGCAATGGTAAATCTTCAAGTAGGCAAAAACAGCGCCCCATTTGAACGCTGATACGGACGAGTGCAGGACAGTCCACATATCATCGTTGGGGGAAGCATTTTTACCGAAAGTTGATCTAAACACCTAAAACGTGTACATTTCTCTGAACACCTTAGTTAAGGCCTAAATATAGCTGTGACTAATTATCATGTCACTGTGCTCATTATATAAGCTACTCGTCTACACGTTGCAAATATCACCAATTTTAATCGTCACAAGAACAGGTTTATCTACTTCAACAGTCACTGTTTACAAGCAGGTCTGGATACGTCACTAATTGTATAAGTGCCCTATCTGTGTCTCTAATAGAGATAGCAAATACAGCTATACACTATCGTGTGACGTATTTTAAAATTATATCACTTCAGAATGACAAGATACATGATAAACTGTTTGCCCCGATTATGAAATGATTAACAGTTTCCTGGTATTACTTTATTTATACATGTACCCCGAACACGTCCGGATTTCTTAGTATTCATATAATACGTGACATTGAATCACGCGCAACTTATCCGATAATAACCACAGTGACCTGATTATTTGTTACAGCTATTTTTATATTTTGACCTAAACTAAGGCGTTTAGAGTGATTTTATATGTTTAGGGGTTTAGATAGACTTTCAGTAAAAATAAATAAAGTCGATCTAAACCCGAAAAACATGTAAAATTACTCTGAATACCTTAGTTCAGGTCCAAATTTAGCTGTAACGAATTCTCATGTCCCTGTGATACCAACCACTGCGAAAAATCGGGGAAGTTTTTTGTACATTTAAAAGTAAATTTGTTGGCTATAAATTGGTTCCAAAATAAACTGGATTCCTTCTATTTTGCTAATAAGACAGACTAGCGTTGTCCGATCATATTTTTAAATGGCATAGTCAGTTTTCGAATTAGCTACCGACCAGCGTGGTTTTTGTTGTTTTTAAAATTGTGTATGAACGTTATTAGTAAAAGATAAGCACATTTTCGGATAGTTAACTTAAGAAAAGGCCTTTCCGCCCTTCCTTCTTTCCGTTTTTCATCGTCTTGTCTCGGAGACAAATGTTCTCGTTTAGAAACAAGCCGGACGGACGGACATCGGCGTATTTGACTACGAGTTTCCTAACGTTAGTCAACATGGACACTGTGCGGAATGTAATGACAGTTGTTGGGTTGTATGCTTGCACTCAGCCCTACCCCCTAGAATATACCACATTGATGCATTTGAAACGGTCATATTTTCATAATTGATAAAACTGAAAACAATATAGAATGTATGCCTGTCCTGAGATGCAGAAAGATTACTTTCCTAGAACATAAACACAAATAATCACATCTCCGCGTACTTTTTGTTAAAAAAAATGACTAAGCGTTGATCAAGCAAAAACTGAATCCCGGTAAGGACAAACTGACTGTTAATTTTCTCTTCCTTTCCTTCAAATTAATTATCCGGAACCGCTGGATTGTGTCCAAAATTGGTCGCTGATAAATGATAACCGGATTACTTAGTTCATGTAGTAGATTTTTTGTACCACAAACAAACCAGTCAGTTAGGCACCTTTTAATAATCGTGGAAGAGAACAAGAGATCCTAGAAGGATCTTGGTGCCCACCATGAAAGGATCTTTATCCGATCTACAAAGGATGATCTATTACCTTCCTTGCTCTTCACAGAGACGTATATGTGTGAGTGTGTTATATACGTCTCTGCTCTTCATTTTCCTTACATGTGCTATCACCCAGTTCGACGTTGGAAATCCATAACGGGAATCGTGTACATTAACTTAAGGATCGTAATATTATAGGTCATTTTCCAATATGACAAATGTTGGGCCAGGGGTATTTTTAACAAAGGGAACATATCAGATAACAATAACAAACTTCAACTCTCAAAATGTTTCAAGACGGCCGCTTGTCGGCCATTTTGTTTTCTGATTAGTCCTAAAACGCGATATGCATAACTACAACGGACCATGGGGAACTTTCATGTAGAATTTGAGAAAGATCCCTCCAGTAATCTCTGAGTATAACGCTAACGTGGATGAAGGGTGATTTGAATAGTCCACCATCTGATAGTGGTGGGTACATATATACCTAAATTCGAAATAATTAAACGGCTTTCACGACAAAGCGTGCGTTGCATGTGGATAAATATGGTCTTATGTTTGATATTCAGCACGAAACAAAACACAAACTTATTAATGAAAATAAATGTCTTTATTTCTCTCACGAGTAATTTCTTTAACATATAAACAATTCAACGGCAATGAGACAAATACCAACAAACTGTTAATACAGACTGTTCACAATCCCCAATCTTTACGGGGACTATATCGGGTCGCAATTTCTCAACTCAAGCTGGAGTATAAAGGATGGCTTATTTCAGTGAATACAATTTTTTTTCCATTTCTTTAAAAAATTCAGAAAACTAAAAGCAAAGTTACAATCAGTCGAAAAAAGAAAACTTCAAAGTACATTTTTTTTTAGATTTAAAATATTTCAAGTCAGTTTCAAATAAAATCACTAGATCATAATCGCATATACACAGTGAACATGTAATATTCCAGAACGTATATGGAAATTGTTTGAAATTGCTATTTTTTTTTCTTCATAAGATATTTCAGTAAAAACGCTGCACAAGACAGCATCAAATGAAAATAAATCCTTCCTTGATGAGATATTGGGACCAAAACTTATAGCCTATAGATAGATATATACAACAAAACTTTGACATTAACAGATAATGCTTCAAGACTACAGAGCATGGCTTTCAGCAGACCGTTCTGAGTATCTTTAAGATTCTTCAAAATTCGCTTTGTCACTACAGTTTCAAATGACATGTCTTTTTGACATGCATTTTGGCACTCAATATTCAGGAAAAATGCTATTTGACTTCTGAAATGGCTTTATGCCAAGGGTCAACTGAAGTCTGCGGAAGAAATATGGCTGGTTAATAAAATGTATACCTCTCGAAAGGAACCAATTATAGAATATATAAGAACGAACTTTGTTTAGAAAAGTACTTAATAGAACTCCCTCCCAAACTAGCCAAAGCGGATTGTAAGTTTAGAACATGTAATACTCAGTTACCAATTGAAAGTGGTAGGTGGTTCAATATACCACGTGAAAATAGATTATGTAGATTGTTATTTAAGAGAAATTGGTGACAAATTTCATTATCTGTTTACATGTACATGTACACATCAACCAATACTCAATAGTAGGCGAAAACATATGTTCAGATATTATTATGAAAGACCAAACACATTTAAATATCATACAGTATTCAATTATATATGTAACACAACATGAATTGACATCATTGGCTAAATTTATTACCGATATTAATGACATAATTAATTTACAAAACTAATGTCCATCCTGTTCCACCATGTACTTATCCTCTACACTGTATTGTTTATGGGGAATACAACCATTGTCATTGTCATTGGTGACATCTGATTTAGATTTCGACTGACCTATAACTGGTCCGGACACTGTTCCGTGACAATAACTGATGTGACCGATCTTTATCAGATTATCATTAATAGTTTAACACTAAAGATCTCAGTGTAAACCAAATTGAGAGACATCAGTTATCTTTTTGCATAGATGTAGTATCATTTCTCTCTGTAATTAGGAAAATGATATTCAAATATCACACAAATCAATAATAAATAACATACAAATACACTTACAATGTTTAATGGTAATTGTTAAGACACAATGCCTGTTTATACCACAGGGACCTGAAAACTTGTTACAGCTATATTTCGATCTAAAATAAGGTGTTTAGGGTCATCATACACGTTTTAGGGGCTCAGATCAATTTTCGGTAAAATTGCCACCCTCATGATGATATATAATCCCTAAAATGCGTAAAGTTAATCTGAACACCTAATTTTACATCCAAAGATAGCTGTAACAAATTCTCAGGTTCCTGTGGTTTATATAATGTCCAACACAAAAGATTTCCTGAGAATTGGTGACAGATTGATCAATACACACATTCCATTGTGACTATAAGTCTATAATACATTCAGATGATTCTAATACCCAAGGGCTACCCTCCCCTTTCCTGAAATTAAAATACTTTTTCAACAGAAAAGATTTCAAACTTTCCTTTAATAAAACAATATACGCTACATTGCATGATCTATTTGGAATCTCTAAGTATCAATCTATAAAATGAGTTTCACCTACATATACCTGTGTTTACAATCCAAAGCTTCTAATTTCCTTTTCACTGAGGACTTTGTGATATTTTTTTAATCTTAAACACTTAAACTGTATAAAGACAATAATTTATCTTTTTTTTTAATAGATGACATTTCTTTGTAAGGCCACCCATGTACAGGATTTCAAAGATAAAAACATGACTGTGTAACATAGGTAATTATTTTTCAAATTCCTCCGCTAGGGTTTGAACCAGGGACCTCTAGTGAGCTATAAAGACATATTCCCTCTGGCCGGGGCTGAGTTGGTAGGAAAGGCTAGTATTTTTCCAGGGTTACACTTTTTTTTGTATTCCAAAGATTTTGGAGTTCATCTTTTCATCATGAATTTAATATTTTCTTTATATGAATTACAAATTACTGTTTATTATACTATTTAAAAAATAAATAAATATTGGGAGTGTGGGATATAAGTCGGATATAGTGTAAAACTGTGGAACATTCCGGTGTGTGCACAAGTTACTCGTAAAGATTTACACACATAATCTCAAACTGTGGTAATTTGGCACCATTTTGTAGAATTCATAGAATTCTTATGACAAGAACAATTGTATATCAAGATACTCCAGTAGTCATGACTACAGACGACAAAATACATATACAAGGATTTTTTTTTTTTATTATTATCATTTGTACGGCGCCATATTTAACCTCGAGTAAATTACACTTGCATGCCAGATTTACACAATGAGGGAACCATATTTACATTTAACACAATCAGGAGGCTGTGGAATCATACCATGATAAAGTAAATCTTACCATGTGATCGCGTTTTTGTAAAGAACTCCTTTTTTTTCAGGAACACTTAACTTACATATTATAATATACATTAGTGGTGATATTACTTCTTAAAAGAAAAAAAAAACTTACATGAGTTTTGTTTGTGTTTAAAAAATATATTTGCAAGATAGTTGAATTCAGGATCATCTCTCCTCACAAATTAACATGAAAAATAATTTACTGCAAAATATAATATATTTGCTGAAACCAATATTACTGCAGTACTACTTATGTATTACATAATGGAAATGGACTTATTTCGTCCCCAAGAGGAATTCTTACACTTCAATATGTATAAACCTAAAAATTTAAAATGAATGTGAGAATAATAAAACTTGATTTCAATGAATGAATTAATCGGTTGGGGGGGTGGGGGGGTGGGGGGGATTTAAAATAATTGGAAAGTGTAATGAGTTTAGTTTCTTGTAAAATAATGTCATGTTTCTATTAGTATATTTCATACATTATTATAACTCTATTAAATAAATAAAAATGAATTGAAAAATAAAAATGTAGTGCACTCATGTTTGCAGATTTCACAAACTATCAATTGGAAATACATATATATCTGAAAGAGTAGCAGAATTAAATGTACCGGGTATGTAGATATTCAGACTGAACATTGTCATAACTTAACAGAACTATGAAGATGTTTTCATAACCAGGATGTTTTTACCTGAGTTTTACAACAGCTTGTTACTCTACGAATTGAAAAAATATAGCATTACCTATTCATATTGAAATTTGGAATTTATTCCTATTTTTTGTCATTTTGGATAATAAGGCACATTTTAGCTAGGGGAAACAGTCTGTATTCCACAGTATAACCGAACAACAAAAACACTGATAACTTATATGCTTTTGAGGAATGAGAAACTGTCGCCTCTATGGTTAAAGGGTGAAGTCAAACTTACGGTAATGTAAGTATAAAAGTTTATAACAATTCTAGTCGATCGGACAACTCTATTATCGACATCCTCTACGCATATTGTGCATTTTAGGACCATGCAGCTGTTTACTAGGAAGATAGCAGACAGGTGACGTAAATATCCCAATGAGTTACCCGACAGCATACAGGTAACCATCTCAATTTCAAGGTTTGACCGACAAAATACGAATGGCTGTAGAAATGATCCTTCCTAGTAGGCAATGCCAGAAGGTACCTTTAAGGGGAGGTAATCATATTATGTAATCCTGCAGACTATTTCAAATCATAAATAAACATAAATCTCATGGTGAATATCTAACATAATCATCACCTTTTACTTAGAAATTTAACATCTTTTATGTTAAACAATCATATTTTAATGGGTTACCAACAACTGATATGTATTAAAAAAAAACACCATTAAATACTGTTAATGAACATAATTAAACATAGGATGCTGGAAATTAGTTTTTTCTGGCATAACTTTTACTTTGTTATTTCATTTCAGAAAAGAAAACCACACCTTGTGGGAATTTTATGAGAAATAAACCAAATGTATTCAACGACAGTGTCCTGAATGTAAAAATTTAACAAGGATAGACTGGAATTCGAACACTGGATCTTCAGATTGTATTACTATCGCTCTAACCAATTGAGCTACCTGGTCAACATAAGAATCCCGGCAAAACAGTTAATATATCTGAGCAGAATTTAAGGGGATGTTATAATTACTGCATATAGGAAAACATCAGTGCTGTGGGACAGGAACCCTTAAGTACATTCAATCAAATGTTAACAGATTAGTGCATCGATGCACCTAAAACATATAACAGGTAGGTATACCTGAATACAATGTACAGAACACGTTATTAGTGCGATCTTGATTGAGGGCAAACCCTGAAGTGTGAAAATCGCTAAAACTAGATTACTACAGCAATGAGTAGTTACAGTTCCAATAACAATGCATTCTTAAATGACAGATATGCTTTACATTTCTACAATGTTTTTAAGAAATTATAATTATACTTTTTCCAGTAAGGCACTAAATAATTTCTTAAAACAACCATTAAAAATATGAACATGTCAAAAAAACAGAATAAAATACATAATGAAAACACAAAGACATCTAAAATTGTTGCATCTGAAAAAAAAAATGGAATGTACATGCAGTAATTGAAAAAAGTAAAATGTAGCATTGTGGACATTTAAGATACAGTTTATATGTAACACAGTTAACAATCGCATTACTTGTTTTGGATGAAATAGGTTACACATTTTTTCAAGAAAATTAAATAAGGCAACAGTTTAAAAAAAAAAGTTTTTATAAATCACTAGGAAACTAGTTAAAGGGAGGTAATAAAATGTGTGGCTTTCGACTGCATAAGCAGAATTAAAATCACAACTTTGTTATGCCTACAGTATCTAATGCTGCAATATAAAATAATCTACTTCATCTGCGGTAAATCCACAACTAAGCAGCTACTGGCTGCGGTAAATCCACAACTATTAAAGCAACTACTGGCCCAATGGTTTTAAATCTGAATTATATTCAAATAAATAATCTCTTAAAATTTCCGTGAATAATACAGTCAATATCAAACAGGTGGTTTTAACCCTAAAACACAAGAATACTCATTTCAAAATAATCTCAAGAGTATTTCAGAAAATTGTACATGTAATCATTGTAACTTGTTCCAGTTAACATAAAAAAGAAACAAGAGCAAAAAGCATCACAGTTTCTTCATGATTGCTTCTGATACAGATTTATTGCCCTAGGTATAATTGTTTTTTCAGTATCAAACAAAAACAGGTTTGTAATGTCATGTGTTATAAAAATGGATCCATTTAGTGAAACATTTAAAAAAAAATATACAAGAATTTGCCAATGAATCATAAAATATATCACAAAACATACTGCACCTGCCAGAATACTCTAGCCCCAAGATATTGAAAGAATATAATAAAGTTCAGATTTGAATATTGATTAAATTATGGTTCCATATGATCATAAAAATTCTCAATACTTTTAAATTAGATTTAATCTACTTTTAGAAATGGAGAAAAGACATGTAAAGATGTGTTTGACTTTGAGAATGCTTCAATAAAGTCAGTTGGGAAATGGAAAGTACACCCTTAATTTGGCGTAATGAAAAACGGACCATATCACAAAATGTACACAGATTTCAAAGCAAATTACTTTTGTCCAACATTTGAAATTTGGACTTAAATCTAACACTGCTTCAATATCCTGGGACTAGTATAGTCCAAAGAACACAACTGGATAAAATAAAATATCTTTTTCAAAACATGTTTGAAACATTCATCATACATTTCAAAATTAAACACATTAATGGTAATGCTAATTTAACTAACACAGAAATCGTAACATCAAAACAGCTTGTCGTCAGCATGTGTACTTCGACTTGTCTGCCTTCACACCGCCCGAGTCGCTAAGAATAGACTGCGTCAATGTCAGACCAAATATAAACGTTCCCAGGACTACAAAGGAACAAGCAAATATCATCATGGCTTCTAACTTCCGGTCCCAGACTCCATTGGCTTTCATTTGTACTGCATTTATCATACACATACCTGTAAAATAAAATATAAGATATTGTGGATCGACAACTTCAATAAATATGTATACCTACAATTTGTAAATACAGGCAATCAAATTTGAAAATAATCAAAATTAATCTGCTTTGAACTACATCATCTAAAACCACATAAAAAACATTGCTTTTATAAAAATATTTTATGAAAAAGTTCCGTTTCTCTGAGAACAGAACACCTATAAATGAATTTTCGTATGTTTAATTTTTTTAAGCATATATATCATATATAATATTGCACATTTTCATAGAAAACTTTTATCACATAACGTACTGTATTATCCAGTGAATATGCCCCTGTCATATTTTTTTGTGTATTAACCCATGTAATATGACCTGATCAGCCCTTTGGTTGGTTGTAAGTTTCAAATGTTTCAATTGTGACGTCACGCCTAGGACAAGTACATGACGTCACAGACTTACACACTCAAAATGGTGGCTTTTTACATTTCAAGGGTGCATGAAAATTGTTGTTTTACAGAAATAAATGCCACAAATCTTGATTATGTGATAAAAAGGATCTTACACTCGTTTTCATTCCATATGAAATTCATGAAACATGTCACAAATTTTTCATTTTAGCTAGACAGAGGCTCGCTAAATTGAAAAATTCTTAAGACTCGTTTCATAAATCTCATATGAAATGGAAACTAATGTAAGATACTATATATATATTTTGTTTTATTTCTTTAGAAAACAAAATTAATTTTCAAATGTTTCAGAAGTTCTCACCTGGAAAAACAAAGATAAATATTGCAGCGAAAGCGCCGAGGATCTGTATGACAACTCCGATGTTGGGTATAAATATAGCCATGGCCAGGGTAGCCACGAACCATATGATCGTGACTAAGATCCTCCTAGGTCTCTCCGTCTCCTCCACACGTTCCGGAGACATGCGCCGGACATCCACCCATAAACAGTCCAACGCGGCCCTGATCAAACAAGAAAATAAATAAAGTAAAACTTTTCTATCTGAATTAGTGGCAAATCTAACAATGATTATATATATACCTATTTTTCTTTAAAATAATTAAACTTAAAGTACACTGTTTTCAGTTATTGAACATCTCTAAGAAATTATTTACCATTGCAAATTAAATAGTCTCAAAAGTTTGAATTTACGACTGTGCTGTAAACAATGTAGTATAAAAATTTGGCCTAAAACATAACCTGGCATATAAGGTATACAGTTAAATTTTCGCCAAGTGTTAATTTTGCCCTTCACATTTACATACTAGGTAACTTTTGTAGTTTACTCTATATTCATTGTAATGATAAATTGGCCCTCATTATGGAGGGCAAAAAAGGTTAAACTGCAGTGAAAAGTTCTAGCATATAGTATCGGATGACATGTGTTAATGCCATCAACTGTGGATACAACCGAAACAGCTAAGGCCTTGAAATGTTCATGTAAATAAATATCTTAATTTGCACTGATTTTCTACTGCTGTGTTCAAATAATTTCAAACTGTCCATTTACACTGAATAACATATCAATAATTTTCAAAGCTTTTATTTTAATATCATTTTAAATATTCTGTAAAAATAATACCAATAGAATTAATCTTTACATGTACTCCTAGGTTAAATGGCCCCTCGAAAAGAAAACCTAGCTCGCAGAAACTGCCCCAATCTTTAATTAGGAAACCTGACTGAAATGGTCTGAATTTCTAATAAGAAATTGAGATTGAAATGGCCCTGATTGCTAGTAAGGAAGTATACCAGTAAAATTAATCTCACCTCCCACAAAAGAGCAGTATGGGATAAGTGGTGTAGGTTTTAACAGCAATCAAGATGACGGCGACTAGCACCTCCGGGGCCGGGTCATAGGACAGTAAGATATCCGAGGTGATTGCATCTCCAAATGTCAGGTACCCAAACGCAGCCACTACGGTGTAGGTCAGCACGCAGAGAGCCATGGCGCAGCCAATCGTCTTACCGAACTCTCCCATACCTCGTTTATTCATACACGAGTATATTGGTATGACACTAACATGGCACTGAAAGGGATATCAACACTTAGGATCAAAGCTCTATTTCATAGATTAATTAAATATAAGGATTTCAAATGTTTATTATTCGTAAAAAAAAAAAAAAAAAAAAAACAGTTATATTATATCCCGAGACCAATACTCCAAGATAATAAAAATAAACATAAAAATATTTCAATCGACTACCAACTTCTCGTTTTTTACTTTTTTAATTCTTATATACTTTGTACATTCCAATTTGTATTTCTTTTTATTCCTTTATTATTTTTGGCCATTTAAACTGTGTTCAAAGCCAATTGGAGGAGATTTAAATTTGTTAAATAAACAAAAACAAACAAACAAAATGTTCTACAGTAATTAATAATAATATATAATTCATCTGTACATCAATGCATCGTCTTTAGACTTGAAGTGGAGTTTAAGTGTATGATAAAGCTTAGTTAATACAAATGTACTGCTGTAACTATTGCACCAAACAATCAGGTCTCGGTTGCTGAAAGGTTGGTGCAAGTTAACTAGTAGAAAGTTGAAAATTTTATATATGAATAACACAATTTAAAACCAAGAGCATCTGATATCAGTTCATGTGACTAGTACTGTTGTTTAAGATCATCAATGGGCTAGTAGCCATACCCACTGACGACTATATCACAGCCAGCCGTACCAACACACGACGAAACAACAGTCAGACACTAAAACAGATATCGTGCAACACTGAAAACTACAGACAATCCTTCTTCCCACGTACACTATAACCGATTGGAACGCTCTTAAAGAATCCCCCATCAGCGCAACTACGGTCGACAAGTTCCGTAGTAGCCTCAAAAACTAATTTTTACTCCACTCCTCCTCCCCGGATATTCAATTTATTAATTTTATCCGGAACCTTACAGAAACAGATACCAAATCCGTGAAATCTCCTGTAACATTTTGTGAGATTTCAGTAATTGGCTCGTATTCCTATATGTATAACTGATATAAGCGAGTTTTTGGCAGATACTGGATAACAACAGATATCGTACAACACTGAAAACTACGGACAATCCTTCTTCCCACGTACACTATAACCGATTGGAAGGCTCTAAAAGAATCCCCCATCAGCGTAACTACGGTCGACAAGTTCCGTAGTAGCCTCAAATACTAACTTTTGCTCCACTCCTCCTCCCCGGATGTGATATTCAATTTATGAATTTTATCCGGAACCTTACAGATACAGATATCATTTGACTGATAGAGATTGGTTGAGACAAATTAAGACTAATGTGTTTTGAGGATTTAAAAAGCTTGACTTCTTATTGGCAACAATTTCAACTTTTCACGAACCACTTGTTAAAGTTAACCAACCTTTGAACAAACGAGGCCTGGTGTTTAGTCCAATAAAATGTCAACTGTAGCCTACCTGATAAGCAAAACAAATGGTTGGCACAACCAAAAACAAATCCATCCACTGTTTTGGCCTGTTAAGAGAAAAGAATAGAATCATATAAATAATCCACGAATCAAAGAGTGCATTGTCAAAAGGCACAATTCTTCAAACAGTTATGTTCCATACATCTGAATTTTAACCAATCACAGTGATGTCCTAGGTGGTTAGGTAGCTCAGGGGACAGCACACTCTTCTTGAAAACAAAGGCAGTCATGGTTTGATTTCCTGAATCGGGTGGGAAAATGTATGGGGTCACCTGCCTGACCACATGGGTTTCCTTTGGAAACTACGTATACGGTTTCCTCTGCGCAGTCCGGTTTCCTCGGAGTGCTCCGGTTTCCTGACATTTAATCAACCCCCGCAGACTACCATCCAGGCCAACAAGAGTGATTAATATAAGTTTATAGGGCTTGTTTCTTAATTGATGTAAAACAATTAAAATTTAATTAAGAGACAAAAAGGCTAACCTTTACAGTGTAATGTTCCATTTAGCAGAACATTCTAGTTGTGTCTGTATGAACCATGCAATGTATTTCTCAGCTAAGAATTTGTTGTTTTGCACACATGCATCCAGTGTTCTCATTATAGTACGAAGATATAGTTAAGCTGATCATGATCGAGTATGTACAACTTCAATTGTCAAAGTCAAAGTGAGTAAAAACACTCACATGGCCTTCATAAAAAATTGCATGATATAAAACAAACACTAAGCATGATATTTAACCAAAAACATGATACTAACCAAATGTGTTATTAACCAAAACATGATATTAACAAAACATGATATTATAATTACTTACTGTGTGGTGATGTGATGAGGAGTAGTGTGAGGAGTCGCATATTTGTAAGTTACCAGGACAACAACATACAGAATTCCGACCACACCCAGGGCACTGTCAAATTAAAAGTGAGGTCAAGTTATAACACAAAACTGTAATATTTATATCCTCAACTTAAAGGAGTGTGACTTCAAATCTGAGAATGTTTTAATGAAACTATGATACTTGTTTGAGATACATAAAAAGCATGGGTGTAATTTTTGTCTTTTTTTTCTGTCTATAAAGAATAATTATGCAACTTTTCGCGATCATTTTCAATAATCCATTATTATAAGTTTTTCTGCTCAAGGCAACTATAGAAGTTGATGTATTTCCTGCATTAAGGTCATCAGAATAGAACTCTGAGTAGTGATCATATATATAACAGTGTAAAGACACAAACTAACACACACATGTACAGTACCCAGTGTTACCTACTATCACACACTTACACACATGTACAGTACCCAGTGTTACCTACTATCACACACTTACACACATGTACAGTACCCTGTGTTACCTACTATCACACACCTACACACATGTACTGTACCCTGTGTTACCTACTATCACACACTTACACACATGTACAGTACCCTGTGTTACCTACTATCACACACCTACAAACATGTACAGTATCCTGTGTTACCTACTATCACACACTTACACACATGAACAGTACCCTGTGTTACCTACTATCACACACTTACACACATTAACAGTACCCTGTGTTACCTACTATCACACACTTACACACATGTACAGTATCCTGTGTTACCTACTAGCATACACTTACACACATGAACAGTACCCTGTGTTACCTACTATCACACACTTACACACATGAACAGTACCCCATATTACCTACTATCACACACGTACACACATGTACAGTATCTCGTATTCCCTACTATCACACGTGCACACATGTACACAGTATCCTGTGTTACCTACTATCACCCACTTACACACATGAACAGTACCCGGTGTTACCTACTATCACACACCTACACACATGTACAATACCCTGTGTTACCTTCTAACACACAATTACACACATGTACAGTACCTTGTGTTTCTTACTATCACACACTTACACACGTGAACAGTACCCTGTGTTACCTAATATGACCCACTTACACACATGTACAGTACCGTGTTACCTACTATCACACACTTACACACAGGGTACTGTACATGTGTGTAAGCGTGTGATAGTAGGTAACACAGGGGACTGTACATGTGTGTAAGTGTGTTACCTAATATGACACACTTACACAGATGTACAGTACCCTGTGTTACCTGCTATGACACACTTACACACATGCACAGTACCCGGTGTTACCTACTATCACATACTTACACACATGAACAGTACCCCATATTACCTACTATCACACACTTACACTACCCTGTGTTACCTAACTATCACACACTCACACACATGTACAGTACCCTGTGGTACCTACTATCACACACTTACACACAGGAACAGTACCCTGTGTTACCTAATATGACACACTTACACACATGTACAGTACCGTGTTACCTACTATCACACACTTCTGTGTTACCTACTAGCATACACTGACACACATGAACAGTTCCCTGTGTTACCTACTGTCCCACACTTACACACAGGAACAGTACCCTGTGTTACCTACTGCCCCACACTTACACACATGTACATTACCAAGTGTTACCTACTATCACGCACTTACACACATGTACAGTACCCGGTGTTACCTACTATCACACACCTACAAACATGTACAGTATCCTGTGTTACCTACTAGCAGACACTTACACACATGAACAGTACAATGTGTTACCTACTATCCCACACTTACACACATGTACATTACCAAGTGTTACCTACTATCACGCACTTACACACATGTACAGTACCTACACACTTACACACATGTACAGTGACCTGTGTTACCTAGCTATCACACACTTACACACATGAACAATTCCCTGTATTACCTACTATTACATGTGCACACATGCACAGTACCCTGTGCTCCCTAGGCCTATACTATCACACAGTAACACATGCACAGTACCCTGTGTTACCTACAAGTTATCACACACTTACACACATAAACAGGACAGTACCCTGTGTTACCTACTGCCCCACACTTACACACATGTACATTACCAAGTGTTACCTACTATCACGCACTTACACACATGTACAGTACCTTGTGTTTCTTACTATCACACACTTACACACGTGAACAGTACCCTGTGTTACCTAATATGACCCACTTACACACATGTACAGTACCGTGTTACCTACTATCACACACTTACACCAATGTACAGTACCCTGTGTTACCTGCTATGACACACTTACACACATGCACAGTACCCGGTGTTACCTACTATCACACACCTACACACATGAACAGTACCCTGTGTCACCTACTGTCCCACACTTACACACATGTACAATACCCTGTGTTACCTTCTAACACACAATTACACACATGTACAGTACCTTGTGTTTCTTACTATCACACACTTACACACGTGAACAGTACCCTGTGTTACCTACTGCCCCACACTTACACACATGTACATTACCAAGTGTTACCTACTATCACGCACTTACACACATGTACAGTACCCGGTGTTACCTACTATCACATACTTACACACATGAACAGTACCCCATATTACCTACTATCACACACTTACACACATGAACAGTACCCCATATTACCTACTATCACACACTTACACACATGTACAGTATCTCGTATTACCTACTATCACACGTGCACACATGTACGTTACCCTGTGTTATATAAATTACCTACCTCGGGTATTTGAGGAAGTCTATTCGTCGAGGAAAGCAGAGAGGCAGGATGAGGAACAGAGAGGATATACAGATGGTCGATATCCTGTTCATGTACCAGGGCGACTGATGGCAGTAAGTGTCCTTCATCGTGAATAGGAACACTAATCAACCATAACAACGAAATCAGTAATAAAGGTTATGTATAACAATACATATTGTGATCGGAAATTTACCATGCCTGGTGCCATTGTTATCTCTGAAATTACTGAACGGTGTGAAGTAAACAAACTACAAACTGGTATGCGATAAACCATTTTTTCATTTTACATTTACCTTTGGAGATATATATATATGTTAAGACTAGGACAAACAATTTGACTTTTGAAGTTAACGAAAATTTGACCTTGGACACATGGACGGGACCTCAAAATGGTATGCAACACATTACCTTGCAATTCTACATATTTCTATAAAATTTCATAGAGATATCTTCAGGAGTCAGAAGTTATGGCCAAGAAAATGAATTTGACCTTTGACCTCAATGTGGCCTTGAACTTGGGTTTATAGACCCAAAAGTGGTGTACTGCCTTTCAATCCTACACATATCACTAAAATTACATCAAATTGTCTTCATCAAGCCAAAGGTTATTACCCGAGTCCGAGAAATGAATTTGACCTTTGACCTAAATGTGACCTTGACCTTTGGTGTACAGAGCCAATTGTGGTATGGGACACATTGCATTCATCCTATGTTTATCTAATAGATATACAAGTTAATTTAGATATTTTCAGGGAGTCAGGAGTTGTGACCTGGACAATGAGTTTGACCTTGTCCTCAATGTGACCTTGAACTGAGGCAAACAGTTCCAACTGTTGTAAACAACACATGTACACTGCCTAGACATTCCGCATATATCTCTTAAATTTTATTGAGCTTTCTTCAATAAGTCTTAGGTTATGACACAGATGATGAATCTGACCATTGACCTCAGTTTGACATTGACCTTAAGATTCAGACCCAATGGTTGTATGCAACACACCATCTTGCCATCCTGTATGTACCTCTAAAATGTCATTAAGTTATCTTCAGCTAGTCAGAAGTAATATAATATTGGCCTGGACAATGTATTACACCTTTAATTTGACCTCAATGTGACTTTGACCTTGGACATACAGACCTGAAAGTGGTAATATAAGCGACACACCGCCTTGCCATCCTACATATATTCCAAAAAGTTTAATGAGTTATCTTCAGCAATCAAAAGCTATGGTTTGGACAACAAATTTGACCTCTGACCTCAATGTGACCTTGTTCATGGGCATACAGATATAAATTATAAGTGGTATGTAACACATTGCCCTGCTATCCCTACATACATCACTTAGATTTCATTGTGCTATATAATCTTCAGTAAGTCCAAAGTTACGACCTGGGGCGCAGATGAATGGACAAAAATGGCGGACTGACAAAGTGAGGTCTATATACATGCTACCAAAAATGTTTGTGGAGCACAACAAATACATACAATACAAGTCCCACACGGTGAATAGAAAAAAGAAAAATAACAAATATATTCAGCACATGTCCCTCTCACAAAGTTCACAGTGAACAAAATACTACAAAAAATAAAATAAAAACTGGTATGTATATATACAGTACGTATCACTCATGGTGAACAAAACATTAATAAGCTAACTAATAATTACACATGTCAGCTGGCTGATCATACATGTCTATGTATACAGCAGTGAACAATATCACTACAAAAATATATACTACATAAAGAAAACCTGAAGGATTTCATTGGTTGATTGGTGGCCTAAATTTGTATATCACACTACCCGTTCTAGTCAGTTAATACTTTAAATACAAACTGTGGAAATGGGACGGGGGAAGCAAGCATGTGTCGAAAGGGATATAAATCTGTCAGAATATGTCACTGGTTCCCAAACAGACTGAACTTTTTGGACCAGTATATATATATATTTCACCTCTGTGCAAGAACCCTTTTCAAACCCACATGTCTGAAGGACCTGTGCTTTTATAAAATACTGCTCTTGCACTCTGTTGTCCAGATCCCTTGGTAGTGGGGATGGGTCTTTAATAAAATCTATAAATAAAGAGGGAACCTCCTGGGAGTTCTCTGACATTGATCCCCGCAATAGTATCTTTACCTTCCTCCCAATGGTCTCACGGTAATGGTTACTTTACCTTCCTCCCACTGGTCTCCGATGATGATGAGAAACGTAATACAGGTCCCAAAGCAATAGACCATGATGGTGAAGGCACAGAAGCGCTGGGCATTTTTACCGCACACAGACAGTACGACATCTTGGTAGTTAGTGGTTTTATTGAGGTCGGAACAGTAGGCCAGTATCATCAAAGCAACCACAATAAACACTAAAAATACCTGAAACATTCAAACAGTTCAGACTCCTAATTAAATAGAATTTCATTAAATACCTGAAACATTAGATATTAAATATATACATGTACAAAATGAAGAAAATGTAAGACAAATTGTTTTCAATAATTAATTGTGAAAATTTCTGATATTAGTTTTTAACTAGTTTTATAATCGGTTATCTGTACAAGAAGCAACATATTTTTTTTTTTATTTTTTTTCACGAGCAGCCAAACTTTGAAAACTGCCATGAGTTAAATGTAAGTTCTCTGTATGATATACTAGGTGTATTGCTTTTATGATCACACTAGGCTCACAGCCTGTATACCACCATCTGACTTACAGCCTGTAAAATCACACTAGGCTCACAGCCTGTATACCATCTGAATTACAGCCTGTAAGGTCATGTACACTAGGCTCAGTGCCTGTATACCATCTGACTTACACAGCCTGTAAGATCACACTAGGCTCACAGCATGTATAACATATGACTTACAGCCTGTAAGATCACACTCGGCTCACAGCCTGTATATCATCTGACTTAAGCTTACAGCCTGTAAGATCACACAAGGCTCACAGCCTGTATACTATCTGACTTACAGGCTGTAAATTCACACAAGGCTCACAGCCTGTATACCATCTGACTTACAGCCTGTAAGATCACACTAGATCAGTACAATTATTGTATACCATCTGACTTACAGCCGGTAAGATCACACTAAATCAGTACAGGTATACCATCTAACTTACAGCCTGTATGATCACTGCCACCATCACACCTCCTGCTTTGTGGTAGGCATCAGGGAAATTGAGCAAGCCAGCACCCAGAGCTGCATTGACCACCAGGAAAACAGAGGCATACCATGTTGACCCTGCAGATAGAAAATTCACATGGGTAATGAGCCTGTGCCAACACTACACTACATCACAAAGTCAAACAATAATACTGAGCGTGACATTGCTCTACTTAAGGATGAATTTACCATTTATTTAATTTGGTAATTTTAGAATCAACTGAATATAATTATGAACCCGAAAAAAATTCCTCAATAAACACAGTGTAGATGTTGCCATAGTTACTTTGGAATTCTACAGATTGGTATTTTACAAGTGTCTTCCTTGAAAGGAATACATTCATGCACAATTATTATCATTGTAGCGACTTCATAGGGAAATTAAGATACCCCATACTGTGAACACACTTTGTGTTGTACTTGACAACAGAAATTGAATGGCCGTCTGCTAGATGCGGTGCGACAAATCATCGAAACGGACCGAATCGGACCGAAACCGAAACGGACCGAAATGAAACAGACTGAAACGAACCCGAAACGGAGTCGAAATGGAAACAATAAGCTAGTTAAAGGGAATTCAATACAGTTTAGATTGTGTGTGAACAAAATGGACGCCGATCGGAACCGAAACAAAAGTGTAAATGGTGTTGTTTTTGTAAATTTGAGCTGTGTTTCTTTATTTGTCGTGTAGGCCTATATACATTGTGTATATTATATATATGCCAAATACATACAATAATGGCATGTATCTATGTTATATAAACACAAGCACATGACTAGATGTGCATACATTAGAAAGGCAATTATATTATAACGCAGTGACGAGACATCACATGTCTTGATACGTTACGTTAATATTTTGATTTTATTTTCAATTTATTTAACGCTTAAAATATTGATAAAGTTATCTATTTAAATGAGCAATCCATACTTATCTCAGCATAAAAAAATACTTGTGACGGTATAGACACACTGTTAAATTTTGTGTAAATGGTTTAAAGATTTATAAATGGATAATTATATCAACATTTTCAACATAATTGTGTTCTATTTGTGTACCAAATTTTTGGAAATGGGTTAGTCTTCTTTTCCCTCTTATTTTTTTAATTTTGTCTAGAGAATGTGAAATTATGGCACAAATGAAGCTGTAGAACAAATCATTATGGAATACTTTGAAGGCATGACACTGTTGAAAAAAAGACAACGAAATGAAATTAAATTAACGTATTAATATATATATAAACAAGCAAATAAAACAATACATATATATATAAGATATATGTTAAAAATCAAATTGTACGAACAAATATTAAATTTGAAATACAATGTATAAAGATTGCATTAGAACTAAAAACATTACATTAGAAATAAAAACATTACATTAGAAATATAAAATGGACATTTTCGTAAAAAAATTATGAATATCTACATTTCGAAAGCATCGACTACACATTGCATGCACCCAGGGCTTGGGATTGCAGACCCTGCTTTATTAAGCCCCATTTTATTTTTATTTATTTTCTAAATTTCATTATTTTTTAAATATATACACAGATCTTCATGATCACTTTAAAAAAAAGTGCACCTGACGAGGGGAGAAGCTGTGAATTAAATATACTTATCAATACCAATTGAATAATTACAATGATACAGGTGCACCCGACGAGATGACGAAGGAGATTTAAAATAAATAAATAATCTTGTATGAGTCCGTATGAAATAATCAAACATTTAATAAAATGTTCTAATATAAACACACACTATCAAAGTCATTGTCTTTTCACCACGTCTTTTTCTTTTAAGATACTGTCAATGTCAAAGTCATTGCCTTTTCACCACGTCTTTTTCTTTTAAGATGCTGTCTATGTCAAAGTCATTGTCTTTTCACCACGTCTTTTTCTTTTAAGATGCTGTCTATGTCAAAGTCATTGTCTTTTCACCACGTCTTTTTCTTTTAAGATGCTGTCTATGTCAAAGTCATTGTCTTTTCACCACGTCTTTTTCTTTTAAGATGCTGTCTATGTCAAAGTCATTGTCTTTTCACCACGTCTTTTTCTTTTAAGATGCTGTCTATGTCAAAGTCATTGTCTTTTCACCACGTCTTTTTCTTTTAAGATGCTGTCTATGTCAAAGTCATTGTCTTTTCACCACGTCTTTTTCTTTTAAGATGCTGTCTATGTCAAAGTCATTGTCTTTTCACCACGTCTTTTTCTTTTAAGATGCTGTCTATGTCAAAGTCATTGTCTTTTCACCACGTCTTTTTCTTTTAAGATGCTGTCAATGTCAAAGTCATTGTCTTTTCACCACGTCTTTTTCTTTTAAGATACTGTCAATGTCAAAGTCATTGTCTTTTCACCACGTCTTTTTCTTTTAAGATACTGTCAATGTCAAAGTCATTGTCTTTTCACCACGTCTTTTTCTTTTAAGATACTGTCAATGTCAAAGTCATTGTCTTTTCACCACGTCTTTTTCTTTTAAGATACTGTCAATGTCAAAGTCATTGTCTTTTCACCACGTCTTTTTCTTTTAAGATACTGTCAATGTCAAAGTCATTGTCTTTTCACCACGTCTTTTTCTTTTAAGATACTGTCAATGTCAAAGTCATTGTCTTTTCACCACGTCTTTTTCTTTTAAGATGCTGTCAATGTCAAAGTCATTGTCTTTTCACCACGTCTTTTTCTTTTAAGATGCTGTCTATGTCAAAGTCATTGTCTTTTCACCACGTCTTTTTCTTTTAAGATGCTGTCAATGTCAAAGTCATTGTCTTTTCACCACGTCTTTTTCTTTTAAGATGCTGTCTATGTCAAAGTCATTGTCTTTTCACCACGTCTTTTTCTTTTAAGATGCTGTCAATGTCAAAGTCATTGTCTTTTCACCACGTCTTTTTCTTTTAAGATGCTGTCTATGTCAAAGTCATTGTCTTTTCACCACGTCTTTTTCTTTTAAGATGCTGTCAATGTCAAAGTCATTGTCTTTTCACCACGTCTTTTTCTTTTAAGATGCTGTCTATGTCAAAGTCATTGTCTTTTCACCACGTCTTTTTCTTTTAAGATGCTGTCAATGTCAAAGTCATTGTCTTTTCACCACGTCTTTTTCTTTTAAGATGCTGTCTATGTCAAAGTCATTGTCTTTTCACCACGTCTTTTTCTTTTAAGATGCTGTCAATGTCAAAGTCATTGTCTTTTCACCACGTCTTTTTCTTTTAAGATGCTGTCTATGTCAAAGTCATTGTCTTTTCACCACGTCTTTTTCTTTTAAGATGCTGTCAATGTCAAAGTCATTGTCTTTTCACCACGTCTTTTTCTTTTAAGATGCTGTCTATGTCAAAGTCATTGTCTTTTCACCACGTCTTTTTCTTTTAAGATGCTGTCAATGTCAAAGTCATTGTCTTTTCACCACGTCTTTTTCTTTTAAGATGCTGTCTATGTCAAAGTCATTGTCTTTTCACCACGTCTTTTTCTTTTAAGATGCTGTCAATGTCAAAGTCATTGTCTTTTCACCACGTCTTTTTCTTTTAAGATGCTGTCTATGTCAAAGTCATTGTCTTTTCACCACGTCTTTTTCTTTTAAGATGCTGTCAATGTCAAAGTCATTGTCTTTTCACCACGTCTTTTTCTTTTAAGATGCTGTCTATGTCAAAGTCATTGTCTTTTCACCACGTCTTTTTCTTTTAAGATGCTGTCAATGTCAAAGTCATTGTCTTTTCACCACGTCTTTTTCTTTTAAGATGCTGTCTATGTCAAAGTCATTGTCTTTTCACCACGTCTTTTTCTTTTAAGATGCTGTCAATGTCAAAGTCATTGTCTTTTCACCACGTCTTTTTCTTTTAAGATGCTGTCAATGTCAAAGTCATTGTCTTTTCACCACGTCTTTTTCTTTTAAGATGCTGTCAATGTCAAAGTCATTGTCTTTTCACCACGTCTTTTTCTTTTAAGATGCTGTCAATGTCAAAGTCATTGTCTTTTCACCACGTCTTTTTCTTTTAAGATGCTGTCAATGTCAAAGTCATTGTCTTTTCACCACGTCTTTTTCTTTTAAGATACTGTCAATGTCAAAGTCATTGTCTTTTCACCACGTCTTTTTCTTTTAAGATACTGTCAATGTCAAAGTCATTGTCTTTTCACCACGTCTTTTTCTTTTAAGATACTGTCAATGTCAAAGTCATTGTCTTTTCACCACGTCTTTTTCTTTTAAGATACTGTCAATGTCAAAGTCATTGTCTTTTCACCACGTCTTTTTCTTTTAAGATACTGTCAATGTCAAAGTCATTGTCTTTTCACCACGTCTTTTTCTTTTTAGATACTGTCTATGTCAAAGTCATTGTCTTTTCACCACGTCTTTTTCTTTTAAGATACTGTCAATGTCAAAGTCATTGTCTTTTCACCACGGCTTTTTCTTTTAAAATACTGTCAATGTCAAAGTCGTTGCCTTTTCACCACACTTTTTCTTTTAAGATACTGTCTATGTCAAAGTCATTGTCTTTTCACCACAGCTTTTTCTTTTAAGATGCTGTCAATGTCAAAGTCATTGTCTTTTCACTACGTCTTTTTCTTTTAAAATACTGTCAATGTCAAAGTCATTGTCTTTTCACCACGTCTTTTTCTTTTAAGATACTGTCTATGTCCGTTTCTTTGTCCCGTTTTTATCCCTAATGTTCTGGGCAGTCGATACTTTGACTGTCCGTCTGTAGATGTTGCTACTCAAGCTCCCTCTCTAAATTTACCCCATTTTACTTTCCTCACTAATCTCTCTTTCTGGTCACCAGTCAGTGATACCCATCTAACTTTGTCTGTCCTGTATCGACCTAACTGTTCAGTCAGTCTGTACTGTCCCGTGCAAAATATGGCTCTCCTGAGGTCTTTGTACTGAACTTGGACGAGATTATGTACAGATTCAATAAAATCAACCAAAGGTTTCGATTTCCAGTCGACCAAATGTTTCAAAACATGATTTATTGACTCGCAGTTGTTATTTGTCCATTGCTTTTCAATGCGGCCTAATCTTTGAGGTTCATTTACTTTTTCATTTAATAGGGATTTAAGTCTGTTTGAAAAATAATCTGCAAACTCAGGAGAGACAGATTGACACGTAGCCAGAAGTTCGTCACACTTGTCGTCAAACGTAATTGAGTCGTCTGCATCCGTCACACCCTCGTGTCCAAAAATGTTGTTTAACAGTTGGTTGCGGTCCGATTTATTCACTCCTAAAGTTGTCATTTTGTCCAAAACATTCTGACGTAGATGTCGAGTACAAAGCACATGAGTTGAGTCTGGGAACGTGTTTGTTATGGCTTTCTTCATTGCTTGTTCGTCATCTGTCCCTATCACTAGATTGGTCGAGTCGGTAACTGTCAATTTGATTTTCAAATGCGCAAAGAAGGCACTGTATGTCTCAAAGTGGCTACTGTCATGAATAAATATAGGTCCAAAAAAGAGGGGGGGGGGGGGCTCACCAGTATTTGGTTTTTCCAAAGATAAATGCTTAAAACAAGAGGCAGTCACGTGCATGTCACACTTCCCCCAAAAAGACCAATGATGCTCGAAAAACGCCAAAAATCTTATATCAGAAAACAATATAATATGATATGATGTATAAATAAGCCTTATTTTTTTACCCGCATGTAACATATCATAATGTCAGGAAATTCAAAGAAAAAAAAGTAACAAAATTGGGGAGGGGGGTGTACCCTTAAGACATGTCTTGTCCATGGCCAATGCATAAAATATTGGCTGTCTTACTGAATATACATTTTTGTTTCGGTTCAGCTTCGGTCAGCCATGTTATTCAAATAATTTTTTGGTCCGTTTCGGTAACACACAGTGATCAAATGCATATTGAATACCCTTTAAAATAACTTCATTTGGTTTTTTTCTATTCCGTTTTGGTTCTGTTCATTTTAAACGGTCACATGCATTATTCACATGTGTTTACTTCGCGTTAAATAACTTCAGGTATTTCTTTTTCTGTTACGTTGCGGTTCCGTTTACGTCCGTTTCGGTCGCACACAGTGTTAATGTTATATTTAATACCCTTTAAAAAAAACTTCATATGTTTCTTTTATAAGTCCCGATTATAAGTTGCGATAACTTGTGCCCACTCCTTTTGCAATTATTTTTTAATAGAATATGTTTAAACTAAAATACGTTTCTTTTCGGCTCATTTTTGGTTCTGTTCGTTTTAAACGGTCAAACACATATATATGCATTATTCAAAAGTGTTTTAATTCACTTTAAATGACATAATGTATTTCTTCTTGGTGCTGTTTTGGTCCGTTTCGGTCACTCACCGCATTCAAATGTATTTGATACCCTTTAAAAAAACTTGGGTGTATTTTTTCTTGTTTCGTTTTAGGTCCGTTTGGCCAAACACAGTGATCAAATGTATATTTAATACCCTTTAAAATAACTGCATATATTTTTTCCTGTTTGTTATAAACGGTCAAACACATTATTCACATGGGTTTACTTCGCGTTGAATAACTAGATATTTCTTTTTTGTTACGTTAAGGTTCCGTTTACATCTGTTTCGATCACAAAGAGTGAGGAAATGTATATTTAATTCCCTTAAATACGTTTCTTTTCAGTTCAGTTCTGGTTCTGTTCGTTTTAAACGGTCACACACTATATTATTCAAATGTGTTTTTTGTTTTCAAATGAATTCAATTCGCTTGGAATAATTGTATGCCTTTCGTTTCAGTCCCGTCACTGCGTTATGATATAATTGCTTTTCTAATGTATGAACATCTAGTCATGTGCCTGTATTTATATAACATAGATACATGCCATTATTGTATGTATTTGGCATATATGATATACACAATATATGGGCCTACACGACAAATAAAGAGACACAGCTCAAATTTACCAAAACAACACCATTTACACTTTCGTTTTGGTTCCGATCGGCGTCCGTTTTGTTCACACACAATCTAAACTGTATTGAATTCCCTTTAACTAGCTTATGGTTTCCATTTCGACTCCGTTTCGGTTTACTTTCGGTCCGTTTCGGTTTCCTTTCGGTGATTCGTCGCACCGCTGCAACCCTACTTTTCTCATTTTGTGCAGAGGAAATTTGAAAGCACTCAGATATAACGAAACGTTGCAAGCAGGGCAAGGGTCGACTCTACAGCATTGTTCTGAAGTATGTTACATAAAATCATTTTAATAGTCTTGCACCCTACTGTACGGATCTGTCCCTAAAATAGATGCATATTGATATACCGTTATATCTGAGTGCTTTCAAATTAAATCCTCATACTGTAACTTTAGATCCTTACCATTCGCCGTCCCTGCAGTCTTATAGTGTGTTATCTGTTGTTCAGATAACAACCCGACATCCTCCCCTTCATATTCATCACTTCTTATGTAGTCAGGATTTTGAACTGACTTTATCATTTTGAGATCATATAACGCGATCAAATAAAACACAACTTTATATAGTATAAATATGTCCAGCAATACGGCTCATGGTCGACATGAATCGTCGATTTCTTTACGATCAGCTGTGCAACGATTTGTCAACAGAGTCCGACATTTTTAGATCACGTGACATGAAGTAGTCCAAACTAGTCGATAAATAGATTCAATAAGCGAAGAAATACGCTATGTACGAGTCGCCTCCCTTCCAATCTGATGTATAATGTATTGTACGTCTCTGATATTATTTAGCTTCTCTATCACAATGTCACAATTAAAGCGCATACTCTTCTGCCGGATCGAAATAACTTTAAATTAAAGTAAAAAAATATGTACAGTGAGCTATTGTTAACCTCACACCATTTTAAGCATAAAACCACCGAGTACTGCGCATGCTGGCCAACGTTGAAGGATGATATTCGAGTGTAAGCACGGACTTATATTAAAACGTAAAAGCAACATATTAGCCATGTATGTACATGTATATTAAAAATCAGATACAAAATTTCAATCAATTAATTAATAAACCAGTATTTTTATTGATAGCCTTAGCATGTTTATAGGGCGACACAAGCCAATATCTTCAGTTTGAGAATGCTTAAATTTCTTCTGGGACTTATACAAAAGTTTGTTCAATAATAAAGTTTTTGGCAAATCAATTCTAACATTCTATATTGTAGTTGCGCTAACAAGCTGTAATTCTTTCCAAATATACTTATTATACTTGGAAATGTGTATGTAATGAACTAATTAGATTAATGCTTGGTGCAATAATCATTCATACTTCAGAAATAAAGCTCCCGATACAAACTTGATAGATATATATATTGAATCACGGGACGACAATGGCATGAGACGAAATGACTTCAAGATGATCATATATATGAATAAATTGTTTTAAATTTGTTATATTTTATTGTCGTTATGAAGTAGCATTAGCTATACTTATAGATATGACTATAATTTGAATGTCACTGAAAAAAAAAGTATATATATTTTTTTTAGATTATCAGGTAAGTTTCTTAAAGGACATTGTAGTATTTGTTTAACCTTATATGAAGAAATAAGTCAATAGACAATTTTAAATCACTATGATCTAAGTGAAGGGAGATCACTGTAATTATTAAAAACAACCTCTGCAAAAAGTTCCGATTTTTTTTTCAAGGAAGACAACTCTTATCCAGATCAAAATGACTGTAAAATGTAAAATATATGAAATTGAAAGTCATAATGTATATATTTGTTCAACTCCGTACACTTTTTGAACGAAACTGTGTACTTTGTTTGCTTTTAGCTTGTAGATAAGCACATTAATCCTAACTGTTTTAATGGAGAAAAAAAACCCGCATTGTGTAACGTGTTATCACGGACTTAGATAACAATTACAATGGACAGGGACAGTATACGTCCCTGCAATGGATAATAATCTAATTCCGTGGTGTTATATGTATTTTGTGATAAACAAATATTTGTTTGGTTAATTATCGATGTTTCTTTTCATTTTTATTGTTGATATAGTTCCGAACAATGTCACACAACCAAAAAATGGAAAATATCAAAAATGACGAAAACTCATTTTTGTTGGCACTTACCGTAAAAAAAAAACGATCGTTCGGAATGCTTAGATTTTCATAAAGTCACCTCTACAAAAGTTGCATAACCATTATGCATAAGTTTCAATGATTTTTTCTGATTATTAGCGAAGGATAGAGCCTCCCTAACTCGCCAACTCTGTTTGAATCGGTAACACCTGCTTGTATTCCGTCTTTGCGTATTGCAGAGTTATCTTCTCTTGAGAGCAGGTATTTGCGTATTGCAGAGTTATCTTCTCTTGAGAGCAGGTATTGATTGTTACGTCACTGGTTTGAGTGAGAAAATTACGTCGCTTTCTCAAAAATTGATGACGATATTCTCAGAAACAAATGACGTAACAATCAATACCTGCTCTCAAGAGAAGATAAGACGGAATAAGGCTATCATGTTGTTCTAACTCAAGTTAGTAATTTTAGTAAAAGGATATGAAGTTTACCGTGTGTCTTTTACATGAAATACCGGGAGTTAATTAAGATAAACACTATAACCAGCCATTACGAGTTTGGGGACATTGTTTTTTCTCTCTCGTAACTTTCATATTATGTCCAGAACACCGTTTCATGTTTCCGTTAGAAATGAATTATATTTGTTGATGATTGGGAAAACAATTGCCATAAATCATGACGTCACAATGAAAGATGAAAAGCTTTGTTAAGTGACGTCATGATTAAAACATTGACCAATGAAATCACGTCCACGGTACGTGTTACCCCAAGCAAGTCTATTCAATTAGTCGGGAGCAGGGACAGTATATACACTATACGTCCCTGGTCGGGAGAGAGGAAACCTTTATTGAATGACCATAATAATAGATCAATGTTATCACGAAATAATGGTTATATCAGTTATCATTAAAGTAAATTTCGGTGGCTCAATAACAACGGTATCGTAATATTGAAATCACAGACTGAATAAAATATAACTCCAAACGGCGCTCCATAAATGGAATAAGTATGTTGGATTACGATAACACTAAACCTGGTAAATGAATAACTGGTGGGAAAGGGAAAGAGGAACAAACAGAATGTCGTGATGATAAAATATCACATTGCTATATTTGTTCCTGAGAGCGGGGTTTACACAAGAACACAAGTTGATGTTGTTTAACGAATATCCACGATCCTTATTGTTTATAATATTAGTTTCGCGAAAAAAAGTCATGCCATTAAATTAAAGAAGATCAAATTGCCATATCTACTTCAACACATCCCTGACTTCAAGAACTGAAATATTCTAAACATGCGATAGTTAGACCTATCTCGAAAAATTACCCACATAAATCGTCTATATTGTTTAATGTTGTTTTGATGTCACGGTACGTGCTTCCTTTTATGACTCGTATAATATATACTTTTTTATTAATTATAATTTACAAATTCTTGCTTTCTGAGGACCAAATTCCGTGTACATGTCTGTCTTGAAACCAGCGCGATATGATAAATACCACGGACTTTTAAGTCCTTGTAAATACAAAGCGATATGCAAGTTATAAAACCTGCGATATGCAAGTTATAAAACACTGTAAACTTTGTAATGTGTACGTGATACTTCTATTTGGTAGGCAATATAATGTATAATGCGCGCAGTATTTTATTCTCAGGTTTAAGTTAAATAAGTTATGCATAATTTCAATGATGCGGTGAAACATATTTAGTACACAACACACTTCCTACCAGGGAACGACGACTGCAATGGAAAAAAAAACCAAGAAACGGTGGAAATATTTAATAAAAGTACTTGATATATATTTTCCTCAGCTTTATCAAATAAAAATGATTTACGTTGTTTATTGCTTAGTTTTGCCTGTTAATGTTATTGTGTTAATCACATGATGAATACGTCACGATTTGTGTTGGTGCCATGACGCAAAACAAGGAAGACTTAACATGGCGGAGGGCAATGTTCACAATGGCTAAACATTCACACAGAGGTGGTTTCTTACTAAATACATGGATAACCGGACAAGATCAATGTGGAGACATAAGGATAAGCTTCTAGAGTATCCTTAGTTGTGACAATGGGCGGGAAACAGAGCACGAGTGCGCCCCGCGTGCGGACTTTCTCTGGAAGTGCACCAGGCACGAGTGGCACAGGTGCAGAAATGACATTAGGTGCAACCTCTTCTGCGAGTGCACGTTTAAGGGCCCGGAGCCTGGGGAGTTTCGGGCCCGGTCCGGGGACAATGACAATACCCAGTTCTAACGGTAACACGCGGGGAGCTGGCTCTCCCGACTCCGATTCTAGCTCACCCGAGGAAGGTCCTACGTTTGCGGGACGAACTGTCCCCCATTCATTACCCCTTCATTTGTTTGCACTTCACGGTAAGTCGTTAAAAGACTCATTGAAACTAGAGACAATGTCAACATCGACATTGTAATGTTATCTGACAATCTGCCATGGTGTTATTACACAACCACACGTTTCCATACAAACGTGTTGTTACAATACACACTGGAGTTTCCTGTCACGTGCTGTGTTTGTGTACATACACTTGGCCTCACTGAGGCTATCCTATACACGCCAGTAAACTTTACACCTGACCCGTGATCAGCTGATGCAGCGATATATATAGTATACATATTTAATACTTTAGTCTTTGGATGTTCAATGTCTCAGTTTTATAGTTTTTTTTCTACATTGTACGCATATATACTGACATAACAGGTTAAACCTAGCAGACAATTGCAAGGTACATGTAATAAATATTTTAACATACAATCCCTGCTACAGTCAAGCTCCTCCGCTTCAGTATAACATGTATACAGTACAGTGGCGACTAGATGTCTCATGATCATGTGAAGCAGTGTCTACAAATTCCACAGAAATTGTAACATACAAGTTGCCTATTCTTCAAATTGTTCTTTGGGAAGAAAATGCATGCCATGCCAAAATCTGAAAATGTTCAAAGGGTAGTTGCAGTTACCCTCATATCACAAATTAATAACGTAAAATGTCAAAGTTAAATGTTCAAATGTGATCAAATGCCACCTACGGTCATGTACAATATCAAATCCTTTTCATACGTCTACTCCAGACTCTAGTTAGTGGCTATCATCATTGAAGCCCTCATTACTGACTATTAAGACTTGTTCCACCTGTTATTGGAAGACTGCGAATAATCTTGTGTAACTAGAGGGGAAAATGACAGCATCAGTCATACCATGGGAATGCTAAGGCAATGCAGTAACCCTTTTAATTACTGGCCTAAGTGGGATGTCAAATACAGTAGCCTAGAGCAAAAACCACAACATCACATTACCTCAAATTTTGACTTTTCTCATCACAATTGAGAGACAAAAAGGTGTGTTTGTCCCATTCATACGTTAAATTCCCCAGTAACGAAATGGCAATACATGTACAACATTCAGAAAAATTGCAATTGACTACTGTTTCCGCAGTTAATATCGCATTCCACTAAAGTTTGGCCAATAATCTGATGGCATAGTGCACCACCATTTTGGTGTCGGAAGTTAAAACTATCCAAATTCAACATATTACGAAAATTATAAAAACTGAGCGAAAAAATTGACTTTTGTGATATATAATAGACATTTGCATTAAATCCTTGGAAGTGCCCTGATTGGAGTATAGACACATTTCTTATGTTTGCTAGGGTAATAAGAGGTTATTGTCTCAAAATTAGTATTCTTGTAAAATTATTAGTTTCAGGATTCGAATTTGGGGAAGTGATGCAATTTCCAGAATTGATCGATAAGGCATCTGATCTACTAAGAAAAAGCCCTGCAGTATATAAACTGTATCATTGCAAAGTTTTACAGGATTCTTGACTTTTAATTTGATTTGTTTAAAGCTGAGCATCAAGCGAACGGCAGTATGCCCCGGCTGAAGGACGGAACCCATCGACTTCCTGGTATTGACATGTACATCATGCATGCTCAACACCAAAGATAAAAGTGAGGGGGGGGCCGTGGTGGCCAAGTGATGAAGGCGTCTGACATTCTGCTACCACTATAGCCCTCCACCACTGGGTCACAGGTTCGAGGCCTATGTGGGGCAGTCGCTAGGTCGTCAGTGGTTTTTCTCTGGGAAGTCCCGGCTTTCCTCCACCACCAAAACCTGGCACGTCCTTAAATGACCATAGCTGTTAATAGGACGTAAAACACAAACAAACCAAACCAAAAGTAAGGTATTGGCAAGTAAGGTGTGTAGACTTATGGAACTGTACACTCCTGCTGTTACCTTCCAAAAGCATAGGCCTTTGATAAGAATTACTGGTTTTGAAAAATTTGTTCTTGCCCTGTTGCTGACCTGAATATTACAGGATGTCCAGTTTGTAAACGATAAGTACCCTTTGTACAAAGGCAATGTTGCTCTATAATAGATATGCAATCTTTCATATTTATGGCCCTGAATCCTGAATAAGTACAGGATAATAACCATCGTACCGTTTTTCGCCTGGACAACTGTACCCAGTAGAGGTGATGACGAGAAACAATTCATTACAGCACTCGTATGTACTGCTTACACCAACCCATCCATCATATCATTGTCAGTGTATTGTCATTGGGACTTAATGAATAGACAGACAGCTGACGAGCAAGATAATTGAGTTTATTACAATATGAATATGTACATATATAGCTCAATTAATACTGCCACCCCTGTTATTTTGAATGGACTGACCCATTGTTTGCTGGACCTGTCCATCTCATTGATTGTTGGACTTGCTGGTCCAGTGCCAGGTTAATGACTTGGTAACTCTGGGTGGGTCGGTTGATCGGTTGATCCTCTTGTTTTGATGAGTGGTCGATTTAATATCGGTCTTTGGGACTCGTATTGATGTTTGTGTTTATCTCCGTCTGTTTGTTTGTGAAGATAATATTAATTGAGTGATGATATTTTGTTTTCTATCAAACAGGTAACTTGTATATACATGTGAGTGTTTATGGATGGGAAGTTTGTTTATATTTAACAGATTTTATAATAGGTTCAACACTACAGTCTAATGAAAATTTATGCACTGTCACACTTTTCAAAGTCTACTGATACAAGAAACTGAACACAGCCAATTAATTAAGATGTGATATTCAACCCCTAGGGTATCTGATGGGAATTGAATTTTTTCCTGAAAGCAAATTTAAACAAACATTGGTAGCTATATAGGCAGTAATATAATTAGTAGGCAATATTAAAAATAGAAAGGGTGCACCTTGGTGACCCCATTTGGTGAATAAATTATTTCAGGATCCCTGTCGCGATCCCTGTCGCTCTGCACTGTGATTTTTCATAGAATTACAGTAATCTCCCCTTAGTTTCATTTTGGAGCACAGTTGTGCCACAAACCTGCGTTGACCAGGTTAGCTTAGTAAGTGAAAGCAATAATAGTACAACAACCTGAAGTCCAAGGTTCAAATCTAGGTCTATAGCCCTACTCGTTTTTACATTCAGAACACCATTGTCGATTATATTTTATTTATTTCATCTTCAGTATTTTTCCAAAAAGTCCTGCAAGATATGACAATTTCTCTTAAATTGAGAAATGATTGATTCAAGTTCCATCATGCAGTTTAAAGTTTTAAGCAGTGATACGAGGATCCCTAAAAGTACTCCGTGATCAGCAAGTTTCACAACATACAGTTTAATAGTACGATTTAAATGAGCTGGGTGTATATAGATGTACATGTCTGTGACGTTCAACTTGGATCATTATAAATACAAAAAAATTACCAGAGTAATGACCATTGAAGGTTTTACTACAGTTTATCATTGAGATCTTTTAAAAACAAAACCATTATTGTAATCAATTGATCAGATTGTGTCAACACCATTTTGTAATTTGTATTTGATAGCTAGCCTATAGGCTGCTGGAATATTGGAGAGAGAAAAAAGAAAAAGTATATTTAGTGTCCAAGACCATTGTGTATACATGTACATGTATACAACCAAATCTAAGACATTTTGTACACTTCTGGCTGAAAAGAACAATTCACACGAATAGATTATTTGATTTTGGCACATAAAATATTTGTATTAATTAGTAATAAAAGTGATAATAATTACCGTACATACAATTGAACAAAAAAAGAGAAAAAGTTCTCTGCATGTTTTAAAATGTTTGAAACACAAACAGCAAATACTGGTGCATAGTAGAATACAGATTACAATGTTTATTGGTGAGTGTGTGTTTTATCTCGGCCGATGTTAAATAAACTCTCAGTCTTCATACCATATCAATGCTATTGATAAAACTATCTGTGGAAAAGCTACGCTGTCGTATTAAAAAGGTATCTAATCATGTGACACTTTTAAAAGAGGAAATCGGCAATTGTATATTACCAAGAGGTATTTCAATTTTTTGAAATGAACATGCGAGGCCTGTGGACTGTAATTAGTTCCCTGGTAAGTAGCTGGTACCAACAGATTTAGGGATATAAAAGCTGCCACTGGTAAAGGGCACTTAACCTGCTTTGGGTAAACAGAATGTTGAAATCAGCTGGTTGAATAATATTATGTCACATATAATGCCTGAAATTATATATAATCTAACACACGAATTTAGATGGATAACCATGTGATGCCTCGTACCAGAAAAAAATCAGTGAATCCATTCAGTTTAAATCGTTCCCTCTGACATTTGTGTACAGTCAAAGTTTATAATAGCACTTATCAGCTTCTGCTGGTCGCATGTGTTGAGTCGACATTTAACAATTGATTTCTCTTCCTGTGAAAAACACACATCAGTGGAGGAATCTTTGACGAAGCACACAAAGTTTTATATCCATCGGAAACCTTATTTCAATATGAAAATATGAATTTAATTGTTATTATTGATCGGTTAATCATGCAAATCTTTGTTTTTATCATGTAATTTATCGAGATTGTAAATAATCCTTATTAGCTATATAACACCTGTTGAACTGCACTGATCTAAAGCTAGGTCAATGAAAAGAGTCCAGCTTATAATAAACCCCTATTTTAGTTGAAGTGATGATATAACAGGATAATCCTTCCAACTCGTATTATAATACGGGAACAGGGAGGGGTCGACACTAACACTAGACTGTTAGTCCTTGACTAGTAGATTTCAGCAAGGACTAGTGAATCACCTAACTGGTCCTTTGGACTTGTGAAAAATATGATTATCAAATAAGAATACTCATTTTTATACGCCCGTCAAATTTGACGGGAGTATTTATGGTATGGCGTTGTCCTTCCGTCTGGCGTTAACTTTTGTTTGTCCGGCAATCTCCTCCTACAATTTTTGACTGATCTCTTTGAAACTTGGTATACATTATAATCATGATATGAAGTTGTGTCTCCCTCAAAAGAATTTTGATTTGACAATTTTCCAAAAGTTATT